AAATCCCTTTTCCAATCCTAATCAAGCTCAAAACTCATAAATCCCCTGCCACTGCCCTCCTCTGCTGTAACACTGACAAGAGTGAGAGCTGCCTTGTCTCAGTAAGCTATAAACTTAGCTTAGCTTTGTCCACAAGCTACTTTGGGAGCATCATTTGACAGTATGATTCTTACCTCCATTTTACAGGTGAGGAAATTGAGGCCCAGAAAAGTTAGTTAATTTTTCCAGAGACACACAGCTAGTAAGTGGTGGGTCCAGGGATCAAATGTTGCTGAATCAAATCTTGCTTGTTCTGAATCCAGAAAGTACACATGTCCCAGTGCCTTGCTGTGCATTTGAAATCACACAATATAATCACTTATCCTTTCTCCACCAATGGTCAACCATGTGGCAATAATCCCAGGGAAGTTGGAACTTGGAATGGCTCCCGGCCCTAGGCCGTGCTACGAGGTTGCTGAAGCCAGGACTCCAGCACTTTCCAACTATCTAAGCCCCGGGGCACTCCTGCCCTCGGTGATAATTTCCAGAAAGAGGTGAGCTAGTGGCATCCTTTGATGTCCACCTGCCTGAGCCACAGCCACAGCCACCCTCACCCTTTTCCTAGAGCAACTGTCTGCCCACAAGCACTGGGTCCCTTGGTGACTTTGCTCCTCGCCTAACACAGATCAGCTGCTTCTTTCTGCTCCCCCAGCCCCACAGCTGCCTGTCTTAGGCCCCAGCCTTATGCTTGCCCTGTTTTGCAATTCACCCCAGGATGCCCATCATCCTGGAAGTGCTGGCAGACCGCACCCTGGCGACAGAGGGCAGGCAGATGCATGCTGCTATGGGTGGGGAAGTTTTGCCATCTGGCAGTCCTTCCAGATGGAAAACAAACATCAATACAAAGTATGAAAGAACGTGTGTCTTCAGGCTCCCTCTCTTACTGCCTGTGTCTCTGCTGCCAACAGTGGCCATGGGCCAGGGCCTCTTCAGATAGGTCCTTAAGAAGCAAAGCCCTCGGAAAGAATCAACATACTCCTCTGCTTCAATTCATGCAAGTTCTTACTGGCCAGTCATGGGTCACTCAAGTCGAGGTCTGCTGTGGGTTGGTTTGCACAAGGTGATAAAGAAATACCTAACTGAGGGAAAAGTATGTACCTGCTCATTTAGCAGGCCAAAACCAGGGACCTGCTCCTAAGCCTATGGAAATCATCTAGCTGAGTCAGAACCATCACCCTTTCTCCCCTCTCTGACGATGCATCTATGTGCTGTTTCTCCTCCACACTGACCCGGACCTGGGATATGGACACACCCCTTTACTTCCTCCCATAGGCAGCCCTACAGCAGACACCTGGGAGCAAAGCAGGCCTGCTTGAAGGTGCAGAGAGTTGGGGGAGCTTCACACTGTTCAGGGCCCTCTAGCCTCTGCTGAGACCTGCAGTTGGCCATCCTTGCTCCACTCCCACTTTGCACTTCATCATGTAAAATTTCAAACATATCTAACAGAAGAGAGAATACTATAATGAACCCCATGTACCCATCCCTTCATTTCAACAATCATCAACTCACAATGAGTCCTTTCATCTCTACCTCATCCATTCCCCTGCCAGGATTATTTATGGCAAAGCAAACTCCAGATATCTCTTCATCCACAAATGTTCAGAATGGTATTCTGGCAGGGGATACCATGTAAAGAATGTAAGTTCTTTACATTTCAGAATGTAAAGAATGTCTTTTAAAAGCATAACCACCATGCCAATACCCTCTTAAATATATAATTAACAGAAATTCCGCAGGATCAGTAAATATCAAGCCAGTTTTCACACTCTCCCGGTCCTTCCTCTTCCACATCCCATCTTCTCACCGACCCCCCACACCCCATTTATTGGGCTTCATCTTATAGCGGCAGGACCGACCCATATAATGAGTGGCCCACCGGGCACAGTAGGCACAGTGCCTACAGCCCACGATATTTTTAGAAGCTTCACCAAAATGTTTTCATTGTTTTTAAATGAGAAGAAAAAAAACTGAACTTTTAGTTTAAAACGTTTTAATACATGTCTGTCTTTATACCGATGCAATTACAAAAATAGAATTTTTAATGTTATTGAAAAAAAGAAAAGACCCAGAAAGACAAACGTGCCTGGGCTCCACGAGAGTCCCCCTGCAGCCCTGTACCTGGCATCTCCTCGCAGATGTCTCAAAGGCGTCCTCTCACCTACGTGTTCAGAACCCACGGTCCTCTTCTGGTCCTCTCCCAGTGTCCCCTACATTCGCAAGGGCTCCCTAGTGTGTAAATAAGGATTGCCCAGATGAGAACATACCGAGCTACTTATTCAGAACTTGCCGTGGCAAGGGTGTCAGCCACCATCACTTGCATTGGGCAGAGGCTCAATGGTGGACAGGGGAGTGGGAAAGCCTTGTAGTGGAGGCGAGGAGGAGAGGGTTTGCGATGCTCTGATTAGAGGCTGTTGATGGGGAAGTTGGGGCTGGGGCTTAACAAAAGCAGGGAACCTTATGTGATTGGCTTAAGGAGACTCTTTGGCTTTTGTTGAAACTAGGGGCAAAAAAATAAGCACTAGTAAGGATTATTGACCAAATCCTGATCATTCAGGGATGACCGCCACGGAGGATGTGAGTCAGAGTTCTACTGTCGCGTGTGGCCTGGACACTGCCCATTTATATATTCAGACACCCACTGTCAATCTAGTTTCATAAGCTAGAAATCCAGGAGGTACCTTGAACCCTCCCTCTTCCTCACCCATATCCAATCGATCACCAAATCCTGTATACCTTCCACATGTCTTTCAAGTCTATCACTTATTTCCATCTCCACCAGAGTACCACAAAACTAGCTTAATCTTTCATCTGATCTACTACCTGGCCTCCTAATTTGTCTATATACCTCCACGGCCTCCTCCTCCCCAATTTATTTCTCAAAGAGTAATATTTTCAAAAAGCGACTCTGATTACATTATCCCTGGCTTAAGTTACATTAACAACTCCCACTGATTTTAAGATAAAGACTAAAACCTTTAAAGCAGCCTCCAGGCCAGTTTTGGTCTGGCTCCCATCCTTCTGTCTTCCTCCAGCACCACAAAAGCCCTTTTGTCTTTCACTTTGAGTCACACCAGCTGTCTTCCAGTCCCTGACACATCCTCTCACCTGCCATGGGATTTACTGGAAGGCCGTGGGCAGCTCCTGATTCAGAAGCAAAGGTGAAGGGCCAGGGTAGCTCCAGAGGCACAGGTAGCAGGAGCAAATGAAGGAGCATCGGGCACCACTACTTGGTGTGTCAGCTCCAACCACCCCTGTCCCTTGCACCACTCTGCTTAACCCAAAGCCTGGAGGACAGTTCAAAGGGCTTGGCTGGCTTGGGCCATGTGCCCAACATTTGGCCAGGACACCTTAAACAGAAGTCTCAATAAAGCTTTAAACAATGAAGAAAAAGCTATTCCCCAAAAGAAAATTGGGAGTTTTTCCCAGAAAGAGGAGGAATGAATACCGGGTGGAACCGCCAAATCAACAAACGTCCACTAAACACATGTTCCCGCTACCTGGACCGACTTCCTGTCCCCTCTTTGCTTCGTTAACTCTACTCAATTTTTAGATTCCAGCCCAATTGTTCCTTCATTAGAGATGCCTCTTCTCACCTTCCTAAGGGAGTCAGAGTTCTCTATTCTGTTATTTCTTTGTACAATAATCTCTCCTTTATAGCACTTGCCACCGTTGTAATTTTACAATTATTTGTTATTGTTTGAATTATATACATCTCTCCCAATTGGCTAAATAGTCCCTGAGAGCAGAGTCCACATTTGTTTGACTCTCTGTGGTACCTCCAGTGCCTAGCACAGCACCTGGCAAAGCAAAGATACTCAAAAACATTTATTTAATGAACAAATCAAGCCAGAAAGAGATTTGTTTTCCCAATGAAATAAAGTATGCCACTCCCCCCTCAGAAGCCGAAAGCTGCTAAATTTTTAAACAATTATTTTCTATACATACTTTATTAGATAACATTCTTTGCTAATCTATACAATAATGCAGTAGGAACCCACTTTATACATAAAGAAACTAAGGCACAAGCAGTTAGGCAATTTGTTCAAAATCACATATCTGATAAATGATTCATAAGGGGATACAAACTCAGGTCTGTCTGATACCAAAACTCAAGTTCAAGACTACTAGGTAGTAATGTCTCACCATAACACTAGTTTCCTCCTAAACACAGAAGCCTGAGAGACAGAGCTGATGCATCTGTAAAACTGGCTTTCAAATAAGTCCATTTTCATGTAAACCCAGATATGTCATAAAACTTAGTTTAACTTGTAAAATACTGATCCACGGAGAGAATAAATAAGTGAAATTTTAAAACTCTGGGGCAGATGCAATTTGACAGAGAATTATAACACCAAATGCCTTGCTTTTTCTGTCATTCATGGTAAGTAACACTGAGCGTGAGCAAAGAAATGGAAATTGGCAGAGGTGTGATCACTTAAGGTAACGTTTCCTAAATTTCATCTACAGATTATAAAAAGCTTTTAGACTTATCCAAAAAAGGTTTTGCTCTTTGCACGTTATTTCTTGGGAAGGAGGAGAGGTTGGAAAAGTAACACAAAATCTGTTTTCGACTCTTAGGACTCATGGGAGAAGGCCCTGAGGCCAGATCAGCTGCTGGGGAACATGGATCTCACTGGGGTAAGAAAAGCAAAAGCAGCCAATGCGAGGAAGCGTGTTCTTCAGGTCAGTCACAGCCAAGATGCTTGTGAGGCAATAGTAAGGATAGGACAGGCTATCGTTTTCTCTTTTATTTCATCCTAGAGTCCCCACACCTGCTAAACACAGGAGGACAGGTCACAGCAGCAATTGCCCATTGATGGTCACTGTGGTGTCCCCCGGAGGTCCCAGATGTTTTTGAGGTTGGGGGAGAAGTACGAACTGGCAGTACTGGAGTAGGGAACTAAGTCATGTAGTGTGTCTTCTAGATACATAACTAGAGCTTGTGATGTAGCTTTCTGTGTTTAACGTGTAAGAGGTTCTGCCAACTCCTTGATCCTCTGAGAACATTGTGATTTCAAAGCAGCTGGCTTGACTTTAAAGACCTGTGGGTCGTAGTACACAATATGCACAGGAGTCCTGAAATGGGGAGAAAAGAATTAAACCTGAAATGAGATGAACAGCAAACTGAGCTAACATCCCTCAAGCACCCACTCTGTGGCAGGCACCGTGGCGTGATCCTGCTGGTTTTCACGAAGGCCCATGAAAGAGGAATCGTGACTTCCACCACACGGATGAGGAAAGGGAAGTTCTAAGACTGATCTGGGGTCAAATTTGGACTGGCGTATCTGTCAGATTCCAAAGCCTTTGCTCTTTCCACAGAAAGTAAATTTTGGAAACTTCTCGATCAGTTGGCAATGTTCAAACAAGCCAGACAGCCCTCTGGTGGACTTAAAGAAATCAGATTTTTGAAATTTCCACCATTAGCACCTTAGTGCCCAGTAGTAACTTTAGAGAAGGGACCTTGAGTGCTCAACCTCACTCTTCCCTCCCCTTTGTCAATGCACAGGGAATACTTTTCATTTCACTTGGTGCTGAACTTTATTTTTTAAAGAAAAATGCCTTACAAAATTTTTTAAATTTTATATTATGCAAGAACTAACATTTTTCCTGTTCCCTGAGCTCAAGGGTTCTACAACTTTTTCTGTGTCTCCAGGTTTTCCTGATGATGCTTAAAAAGAGGAGCCGGGTAATATCCCTCGAAGGCAACAAAATGAAGTGAGGTTCAGGCAAGTTAAGGTCTTTTCAAAAATAAACAGGGACTAGAGACATTTTCTCCTTTGTTGAAGGATTTTCTCATTTATTTGAAATAGGTCATATATGTAGATAGTACACAAACACTGAAAAATACAAAAGCCTATTTAGCAAAAATATAATTCTTACTCCCATCTCGGGTCCCCAGGCTTCCAAAAGGAACCATCGTTACTGCCTTCTTAGACGCCGTGGGCATGTGCCCAGGCAAGTACATGGCACATACGTATTTTTTCTTTGCACACACTGTAACATTTCTGTGCTTTTTTTATAACTTGTTTCGCTTTGACAATATATATTAGATAAATGATACAATACCCGTAATTATAGCGTTGTCTCCTAAATCTGTTTTAGTACTAGTCCACTAACCCTTAATTATAGCCTTATATTTATTTGTCACAAAAATGTAAGAAATGAGTGAGATGTTTTTAAATTTTTCTTATACTTCTACCATTCTTTTCACTGGCCTCACTAGGTCAACTTTCCTCTGTCCCTAGCACAGCCATCCATTCCTGTCCCACCTTAGCCTTGAGCTGACACATACCTTGTATTTGGATTAGCCAGTTCTTGGACTCTGGGAGATGCCTTGGAATGCATAGCAGCATAAGAGACCGGCCAGTAGGGGTCACGGGGAGGTAAATAATCTTCATGAAGAGTCTTGGCCTTAGCTAGAGCTATTATTCGAGTGCTGGCTTTGGCTAGCAGGGCGGCTTGGGATATCTATAGTGGAAACAAAAAGACACAAAAATATATCCAAAATTTTACCACACATCCCTCTCTTTATAGCTACATCCCTACTCAAGTCACCATAATTTCTTTCCTGGATTCCTCAAACAGACTCCTAACTGATTTCCCTGCTTCCATTCTTGCCCATGTACAATCCAACATTCACACAGCAGTTACTGAGGGAGAGAATGAGCATTTTAATGAGTGCATTCCATGAGCCAGACAGTGTTTTAGTCATTTAGCTACATCACTGCTAGTTAATCATCATAACAACCCCATGAGGTAAGGTAAGTACTTTGTGAAGCCCAAGACAAGTGTGTCACTTCCAGAGTTTAAACCTCCAGTGGCTTCCTGTTTTGCAAAGAATAACATTTTGGCTCCTTACTGTGGCCTAGATGGAAGGCCCGGCGTGACTGGGCTGCCACAGCAACCTCACCTTGGTCACTATGAGCACCCCGCCTCCACAATGACACAAGGCCCCTCCAGCCTAGGTCTTTCCATCTCAGGACCTTTGCACTTGCTGGTCCTGCTTGGCTTCCTCTATCCTCAATCTTGTCGTGGCTGCTTCTTCATTATTTAAGTCTCTTGGCTTAGACATCACGTCCTCAAGGACTTCTTCTTCCCTAACTGTATAAAAATAAATCAGCTTTTCTAATTACCCCCTTCTGCAGTACTAATCTTCCTCATGGCACTTTCCAAGTCCTGACTGAGCTCATTTATCTCATTGTTGATATTTTATTGTGTGATTCTTTCCCCTAGAACAGCAATTTTAAGCTTTTTTCATATCATGATTTATATAAACTAATTACCAAAATTATGTGGCATACCAAAAAATATATTGTATTTTTTGCCTATCTGACAAAAAATTGGTATACTTTTGATTCATTCACACCAGACAACTATCATTGCATTGGCTAGTTAATTTTATTTAACAATCTAAGGCAAAAGAGGTCAGTGCCCCTGAATAAATAGTCAGGTATTGCATGTTTTTAAAATTCTTGCAGCACACCAGTTGAAAATTGCTGTATTAGAATATACTTCTCTGCTGCTTGAGAGAAGTAACAGCAGGTCCTCAGATAATGTTGTTTCTTCATAACATTGGTAAAATGCCTAGGAAATTATCTCTTGTTTATATCAATTAGCCTATGGTAATTAGGTAACATATAGCCTATGGTTATATGTTACTTGCTTACGATCACAGAACTTACCAGTGATGTTAAGTGAGAACTTATTGTACTTGTTTGCCAAAAGCTAGAATAGGTTCTGGTGCATAATCGGCATGGAATAAATACAAAACAACTGACTGATTGATCGATTGCTTTTGGTCTTACTTGGGAAATCACAATTTCCAGGCTGCTTCCTATTATACTGCATTACTGGTAAAATGGGAAGGATGATGTACAGCCACTATTCTCGCTCTTAAGTGCTCACTGGAGAGAATTAGGACAGATAACAAACGCCACTTGGTACCCCTGAAGGTGTTCTATGCTGCAGTGGCACAGATTTATTTTCATTCTAAGTGTATGATTATCTGCAGTGGTATCACTTTTTATAAAGATTTTTAAGCCGCTCTCTCCCCAACAGTTCTAGCAATTAAAGAAAAAAATGCCTGTAATTCTCATTTTAAAACCAAAACACTGAGAATAAAGTGATTTGCTTGAAGGACAGAAGGCAAGTCATTTTAGCAAACTTAAGATCCTCTTTCAAGGGTTTTTAATCCCCAAAGTAGTGTTCTTTCCAACTAGAATTCTATATTAAATCCTTGGATTCTGAGAAGGAGGGCAAAATTGGTCCCACCTTCTGTGACAGCATAATCATTAGATATTTATTAAAAACTCAGCTGGGATTGGGCACCAAGCTGCCCCTACGATGAATGGAGGGGAGTGTCAGGAGCAAGAGCAAGAGACACACTGAATGTGCCAGCACTGTGCCCAGCACAGCACCTTATCTATTATTACATGCGGTCAGCAGTTATCCAAGGGAGAACTGTTATCACAGTTCCCTTGCTCCCCCCAACTTCAAGGTCATCCCGACTTCAGGATTCTGGCATGTACTCTTCCCTTTACTAAAATATTCTCTTCTCAGATCTTCACGTAGCTAACTCCGTATCCTCATTCAGGTTTCATCTCAAATATCCCTTCCTCAGAGAGGTTTTTCCTAACTACCAAATGCAAAGAAGCTTATCTCCATAATCACTCATTTCCTATTTTATATTCTTCATAACACCTATCACTGCTTCACATTATCTTATCTGTTTACCTATACATCTTTTTGTTTCTCTTCATCTTATTCATTGGCAATGGTGTCTGGCACACAGTAAGCATTTTAATACTGGTTGAATGAGCAAGGCTCAGGAAGGTTGTCACAACATCACGGAGCTAAAGTGGCAAGGCTATAATTTGAAACCAGCTGTAACTGATCCCAAAGTTCATGGTCTTCACCCTCTTCCCCCCAGTTCCTCTCCATATGTAGCAGGTAGGTCTTCCTTCCTGCCACAGACTTTCCTTCAAGACTCTGTTTTACAATGACTTTTGGCCAATACCCTGTAGAGGAAAAATAGCATCCTAGCAACAACTGGAACATGAGCTGAAGGATACTGAGGCAGTAATGGCTTACAGGACGGATGGGCACTTCACTTTTTTCTCTTGGATAGCACAGACCCTCTATCTTCATCCTTGGATGGGCAAGGTCTACAGTTCTTGGACTTGCGACAGCATTCAGGGTATAAAATGAAATCTTGTTTTCACTCTAGTGGGGAAAAATAAAACAGTACCTGTAAGTATTGAATACTAAACACTATCTTGATCAAGGTTACAGGGTAGGTCTGACCTCTGGACCAGACTTCTCAGCAAATCCAGCAGGAAGAGTGAGAATCTTGTAGGAACTCACGATCATAGCTGAAAGGATCAATTCCTATCTTTCTCAAACTAGGTTGTATGGATTCCAACTCAACTTTTCAGGAACTTACTGTGAAACTACAGATGGGGTGGAAATGGCTGATTTATGAAAACTCAGTCAAGAGGGCAGGCCCAGCCCTCCCACATAAAAGTACTATAAGGGGCAGAGCTCTGCTTTGTTCTTAACTATTTGTGCCCTTCAGACATGGGACTAATACTATCCCAAAGCCCCATGCTTCCAGGAAATTTTAGTGGCTCTCTTGTAAGTCGAATGGATATGAAATAGAAACCAAAACCAAGAAGAAGAAAGGCAGAACCACGTATCTCCACGGAGAATGTTGTTCTGGTCCCCCAGGTTACTTCTCATTATTTTAATTGTGGAGATATGTTCAAATTCATGGTCTTCTATTTAAATTACTGGCATTTGAACTCAAAATTTATCATAAGACTTTGAGAGGGAATATAGTCATTAGCTAGAAATAAAGTACGATTTTAACTATGGGTGGAAAAATAATATAAAAGTATGTTCCTAATCCCTTCTTTTGATGTTTAAAATGATGATGATGACAATATTAACACCAACAGTGTTCTACATTATTAATTTATTTATTCCTCACCTGGGGTATCATTTTTATTTTATTTTACTCCTGGAGAAACCACAGTAATTTGAAGGTCAGTAGTTTATTTAAGTTTCTATAGTTAGTATGTGGCAGAACTGGGCCTCAAACTGAAGATTCTACCTGTTGGTGCAACACCGTGAAGTACTAAATAAGAATCTTAAGTATTTACTATCAGTTAATAATATCACTAACCTTTGTCTCGTATCAGGCTCTGGGAAAATCAGAGAAATATATGATAACCATTGCCTTCAATTAAGACTTCCGATTAGCCCTGGCTGGTGTGGCTCAGTAGTTTGAGCACAGGGCCTGCAAACCAGAGGATTGCAGTTTGATTCCCAATCAGGGCACATGCCTGGGTAGTGGGCCAGGTCAGGTCCCCAGTAGGGGGCATGCAAGAGGCAACCACACATTGATGTTTCCCTCCCCTTCTCCCTCCCTTCCCTCTGTCTAAAAATAAAATAAATAAAATCTTTAAAAGAAAATAAGACTTACAATTAAAAAATAAAATAATCATTCATTAACTCAGTTCATTAGACAAATATCTCTTAATCGATTATGTTATACAAGACACAACAAAGAATAATACAATAATCTCTTTCCTTAAAGTAATTTTCAACTTAGAAGAAATTGTAGCCCAACAGGAAAGTCATTAAGATTATTTGATACCCATAAAAGGGAACAATAAAACTTTGAAAGACATCGGAGAAAGAGTGGGAAAATCTAAGGATTCCCTTTTCAGGAGTAAAGGAACATGATATTAGACCTTGAAGGAAGGATCGGATTTTGACAACTAGAGGGAGGAGGAAAGACAGGAAGGATAAAGAAAGGATGATGAAGTGGGAGATATAAGGGGGATACATAGTAATGGAAAAATACCACCAAAGTAAATAAAATAATAGAAGAAAAGATGATAAAAAAAAAGGAAGGAAGATGGAAAGGAAAGTCCAACCATAGAGGCAAAGAAGCATGGAGCAGCATATCTCTGGTTATGCAGGGAAACCAGGCTTGTAAATGCATTTATAACCAGATTAGATGTGAGCAGGGGGCATTCTTCACAGCCAGCCAAGAACCATAAAATCTTTACATTAGAGAGTAGGTGCTATCAGAGCTGGAGATAACTTATCAGGCATGTGTGAGAAGGACTGGAGCAGGGACATAGGGAGCTGGAAGGATAATAGGAAAGTTATGGCCAAAAGAAGGCAAACAGGGGTATATATACCCTACCCCATCCTAAAGTATTTTTAATATTACAATATTTTAAGCAAAATGATACTTGCACATAATATCAGTGTGACCAAACAGAGAATTCAGAAATATGATCTAGTACAGTCACTCAATTATTTTTGGTCTAGACCCCCTTTAAGTTACTCTTAAAAGTAATGGTTTCCACTCAGTGGATTGAGCATGGGCCTGCGAACCAGAGGATTGCTGTTCGATTCCCAGTCAGGGCATATGCCTGGGTTGCAGGCCAGTTCCCAGCAGGGGACACATGAGAGGCAACCATACATTGATGTAACTCTCCCTCTCTCCTTCCCTACCCCTCTAAAAATAAATAAATAAAATCTTTAAAAAAAAAGAAGTAGTGGTTTCCAAAGACTGAGACACTTAAGAAAGTTTATCATTTAATCTTCAAAAAGCAATTCCATTACATGTTCCTCTAAATTTTTTATGACATACAACTATATTTCCCAAAACAAAAAAATAAGAAGATTGATATGTTTCAACTTTTGTAAATTTCTATAATATCTGGCTTTAAAGGACACTGTTGTTTTGGTTGAAGTATATGAAGAAAATCCAGCCTCACACAGTAGTTAAAATGCATATTTTAAAAACTTTTTAACTGCCGATATTCTTGGACACTACAGGAAAACTTGACAAATGATAGTTCCTCAAATATTAGTCGCAATCTGAAACTATGTAAAGGAACTTTTCCTATTTTATTACCTTAAAATCCATCAGTCTATCTTTCAAATTGAAGGAAACTTTTAATCATGCATGATTCTGAACTTGCAGATTACCTAAAAGGGTCTGGAGATTACCTTTATACATACCTGGGTTACATTTTTTTAAAAACAGTTACCCCATTAAAAACACTGTTATGGTATATAATAATTCTGGAGGGAATAAATGAAGGTTAAGGCAAAAATGAAAGGGGATTCCTGCCATTTTATATAAAAATACTTCAAACAGATCGAGGAATTAACTATTTTTGGGGGGTTTTTAAAATTTATTTGTTTTTGTCAGATAATCATACACTTTACAAAGTGTTCTCCCTGGTATTTCCAATACCCAATTGGCACCACATGTAACTACTGCAATATTACTGACCATATTTCCTGTGCTATACATTACATCCCCATGACTATTTTGTAACAACCAATCTGTACTTCTTAATCCCATCACCTCTTTTACCTAGTCCCCAAACTCTCCTCCCCTTAGGCAACCATCAGTCCATTCTCTGTATCTATGAGTCTGTTTCTGTTAAGATGTTTTAATTACAAAATTAATATTATATAAAATAAATAACATATAATGTTGGCAAGAATGCAGTAGAAAAGGCAGCTTAAGTAATGTAAGTAGATATGTACATCAAAATCACTTTTGTTGGAGCACATAAAAATGTTCAAAAATTTGATGCAGTAATTTTACCTCTAGAATTTTTATCTCAGAAAATAATCAGAGATTGAGAATGACGAGGGAAGAACATGTTGGTAGAATGACCTCAAAACTTAGTGCAGCAAGTCAGACAAAGCCATGTGAGATACCCAGAGCACATGCTGGTAATACTCAAAGGTATCTGCTAGATACAAAAATGAGCCTTAAAAGTTAAAATCTACTGAGTTGAAGATTTAAAAAATCCAAGCAGGTTGATTAGTCTGAATAGGAGCTTCTGATATATGTAAGTAGACCCTAAGTAAATGAGCTATGAAACCAACCTCTTTTCTAAGTTTTGTAGTCCTGACAAAGTGACTATAAAGAGAGACTTGGTGTGATGTTCAAGGGGGTAAAAGGACTTCCTACAGTTCATCCATTCAAAGTCTGGTGGCAAGTAACCTTAGGTGCCTGCGATAGTGCCTGGGCTTCCCTTGTGGGCATGTGTTATTTTTAAACTCTGAGAAGATTTAGAATAAACTGTAAAAAACTAAGAGAATCAAAACATAGAATTAATAGTTGTGTTAAGAATAAGTATGTACAAGCTAGCCAAGGTACTGAAATTTGAACATGGGCCATGAAGTAGATATAGTATTATCTTTTTTTTTATCTATAGTTAAGCATTGACTTTCTCAGTCAATAATCCACTTGCTATATTTTATTTTATTTATTTATTTTTTAAAGATTTTATATATTTATCTTTCGAGGGGAAGAGGGAAAGGAGAGAGGGAGAGGAACATCAATGTATGGTTGCCTTTCGTGCGACCCCTTCTGGGAACTGGCCTGCAACCCAGGCATGTGCCCTGACTGGGAATCAAACCGCGATCGTGTGGTTCGCAGGCCTGTGCTCAATCCACTGAGCTACACCAGCCAGGGCCAGTATTATCTTAAATATCCTGATTTTGATATTAGTATTGTAGTTCTTAGGACATACACACTGAAGTATTTAGAAAAAAGGGTATATAATATCTGTAACTTATTCTAAAAAATGAGTCAGGTTAAAAAACCAAACACACACACACATACAAACACCATAAAGGAGAGAATGATAAAGCCAATGAAGTAAAATGTGAATTTTTGCATCTATTCAGCGCACTTAAAATTATTATTAAAACAAAAGTATGCATATACTATTAAAATAAAAAGCATGTACATATTGAAGCAAATTGATCTATTCAAGTGATAACCTTCCACTCCTAAAGTACAATTTGATATGTATAATTGAGTAACTGATTTAGAATGATGACATTAAGTTGAAATCTTAAGTTTATGTCATTCTTACAACATTAAAAAACTTCAGGCTCACCATATTTATAAGTTTAATGTATTAGATTTAAAATAATTATTTAATATTTAAGAAGGTTTTGTTTGTTAAAAGTAGATGGTTGAAGTAAAATGCTTATAAAAGAAATCAGCCCTTGGTGGTGTAGCTCAGTGGATTGAGCACAACCCTGTGAACTAAAGGGTTGCCAGTTTGATCCCCAGTCAGGGCACATGCCTGGGTTGCAGGCCAGGTACCCATTGGGGGATGCACAAGAGGTAACCATACATTGATATTTCTTCCCCTTTCTCCTTCCCTTCTCTTCTCTCTAAAAATAAATAAACAAAATCTTTAAAAATAAATAAAATGTAATGTATTTATAAATATAAAGTATTTGTTAATATAAAGTATTTAAAGTTATTTAAGTTTGAAACCAAGTAAAACATTCAGGACTCTTAAAAGTCACTATTAAAAACTGTTAGAATTTTAAGCAGAATAATAAAACTTCTGAGATAAACTTAAATGTATAGCTAAAAAAGTATAGATTTTTTTAACTTGGAATTTAAAAAATTGACTATTAATGATTTAAATCAAAAGTATACCTCTGAGCAGTCTTTCCTGTGTACAAAGACCATGCTGAAGGATACCAAAAGGCTCACATCACTGGGTGTGGCAGTTTTTTTTCTCAGGACTATAAATTCCTCGCCACTTCTCTCATTGGAAGGTGGGGTTTGTGTCCCTGCCCCCTTGAATCTGGCCAGACGTGTAACCACATCAATCAACAGAGTATGACTGCAGTGACATTATGTGGCTTCCAAGGCCAAATCATAAAAAACTGTGCAGCTTCACCTGGTTCTTTGGGAATTCTCACCGATGGGAACTCTAGGATATTCCTTCTCAGAACGCAGCTGCTCCGCTGAGGGCAGTCTAAGTCACATGGAGAGGCCAGATGTAGGTGCTCCTGTAAATGAGCACCCACTGAAACTAGCCTTTCAGGTCTCCCAACTGAGACTTGAAACTTGAGACTTTCAGAGTCTAGCCTTCAAGTCATCCCAGTGGAGGTACCACAAATAGGTATTGTTACGGAGCGAATGTTTTTGTCCTCCCCTCCAACCCCGAATTCAGCTGGAGCCCTACCTCACAATGTGATGATACTAGGAGGGGCCTCTGGGAGGTAATTAGGTTTAGGTAAGAGCATGAAGGCGGAACCCTCTTGTGGGTTTAGTGTTGTTTTAAGAGGAAGAAGAGAGATCAGAACTCTCTCTCTGCATGCTCACAAAGCAGAGGTCACGTGAGCACACCGCAAGGTGGCTTCTGTGTCTGCACCTGGCAACAGGGCCCTCATCAAGGAGAGAATCTGCTGGTACCTTGATCTTGGATTTCTCAGCTTCCAGAACTGTTGTTTAAGCCACTCAGTCTATGGGATTTTGTTACGAAGCCTGAGATGACTAAGACGGGTATGAAGGAGCCTTCAGATGATTCCAGCCCCCGGCATTTCAGGCACTTGAGCTATTGGAAATATCCCAGCTGAGACTCCAGACATCCTGGAGTGAGCAGAGACAAGCCTGATTGCCCTATCAGACAGACTTTCTGACTCATAAAATCCTCGAGCATAATAAAATGGTGGTTTCACAAAGTTTGGGGGTTGGTTTGGTACAAAGCAACAGACAGGCAGATCAGAACTTTGAGGGTGGAGTCTCTGTATTGTTTTTAGATGATCCAGAATTTGTTTTCTGAGCTGATTATATTTAAAGGTATTAATAATCCTCTCACCAGTAATTTAAAAAAAAAAAGAGAGAGAGATACACTGGTAGTCCATGGTATGTGGTGGCAAACCAGAAAGCAAGGCTTTGGGTGACAAAGGAGCAGAGAACATTTTACTAAAATAAAAAGTATAGTGGGGTTAGTTGATTGCTTCAAAGTGCATCAGAGAACTTGAGGAAAGAAATGATCAGCTGAAGCCTTTAAATTCCCAACCTAATCCATTGTTGGTGGGATTACAGACTGGTACAACCACTGTGGAAAACAGTATGGAATTTTCTCAGAAAACTAAAAATGGACCTGCCTTTTGACCCAGTAATTCCACTGCTGGGAGTATATCCTAAGAACCCTAAAACACCAATCCAAAAGAACCTATGCACACCAATGTTCATAGCAGCAAAATTTACAATAGTAAAGAGCTGGAAGCAACCTAGGTGCCCGTCAGTAAATGAATGGATCAAAAAATTATGGTACATATACACAATGGAATTCTATGCAGCAGAAAGAAAGAAGGAGCTCCTACCCTTTGCAACAGCATGGATGGAACTGGAAAGCATTATGCTGAATGAAATAAACCAGGTGTTGAAAGACAAATACCATATGATCTCACCTTTAACAGGAAGCTAGCAACAAAAAAAAACAAGCAAGCAAAATAAAAACGAAGACACTGAAATAGAGAACAGAGGGACAGTGACCAGAGGGGAGAGGGGAGGGAATTTCAGAGGAAAGGGGGGAAGGATTTACAGGAACAAGTATGAAGGACACATGGACAACAGCTAAGGGGGGGGAAATGGGAGGGAGGTGGGGAGCACTGGGGGGATGGGCTGGGATGGAAGTAAAAGACAGAAAACTGTACTTGAACAATAATTAAATTAAAAAAAATTTTTTTTAATTTCCCACCTTAAGGTTGGGGGTAAATGGTCAGAAAGTTTTTGTGGCTTACTTAAAAGAATCCCTTATCTTCTCTGGTCACATGGCTGAAAACTAACTCAAAATCTAATTCTGCACATGGGTGAATATCAGTGCAAAATGAATTCCTAAACTTGTATGGTCTCCTATATTAAAGTTAGAGCACTGATCAGGAAGAAATGCAACCCTGAAAAATTGGACAAGGGATATGTGTGCAGGTCCAGTGAGTCTGGGGACTTTACACCCCTAAATACTGCTGAACCTTCCTTGTGGATAGAATCAGCCCTCCCTGCCCTGCCAGAGGTTAGAGGCCCCTTGCTTGAAGAAACTGTAATGGTTTCCCCTGAAGTAAATACTTTTCAGGGAACTACTGACCTACCCCTACTATCTCTCGTTGCTTCTAGATCTATAACCAGACCCATGTTCCAGGGGCCAAAACAGCCTTCCACTGATTTCTCCATCAGCTCCCCCAATGGCTTACGGTCCAATTCTATTTCTATTACTCATAGTGGTCCTGCTTCTCCGATAAAATCCTGACTGATACATGAGACGCAGGGGAGGTCATCAGAAAAGTTTATTTGATGAGAGAAGAATGTAAGTAGGAAGAAAAGGAAGATACACACCTAGAAATAAAAGGGGAGCATGTGACATTTACAAACATGTTACATGTTACAAAGTCAACCAGGAACTGTCTCTTTCATGGCCCCACTTACGTCTTTTGGAGGAACATAGTTTGGATGTATGGATTTGGCTATTGAGAGTCGTACTATCCGGGCAGAAGGACCAGAGAGTTGAAGAGGCTCTTTCATTATGTAATCACTGAATGGCCTATATGCAGATGAAACAAAATAGTATAATCATTAGAGGACCAATACCATTGTTCATTGCTATAATCAGCCTCTACACAATCATATATATTGCTTCTATCTTTAGAACATCATTTCCCATAATCATTAGTGCTCTTTCTACCAGGCTGGTATTTCTCAACATTTTTACTTTGATCCATAGTAAGAGGTACATTTTACATTGTGATACAGTACATGAAAATCTATGTGTACATCTGAAACAAAATTATCATCAAACTATGTTTGTCCTAGGCAACGTATTCTGACTTTTTAAGTTTCATTTGATTTCATTAAAAGAAAAGCTGAAATTGATTTCATAATCAATTGATGGAGACTTGCTGTATTTAAAACATGATTATTAACTGTAGTAATCAAATGTGGATTTCTTAAGATTTCGTGTATAAAAAGTCATGCCATCTATGTCCTCGCCGGTATGACTCAGTTAACTGGAGCGGCATCCCATACACCAAAAGGCTGCAGGTGCCATCCCTGTCTGGAGCGTGGGTGGCAGAGAACCAGTTAATGTTTCTCTCTCTCTCTCAAATTAATAAACATTTTAAAAATTATAAAAATCATGTCATTTATAAGTAGAAATACTTTTACTTCTTCCTTTACACCCTGAACGTATCTCTTCTTTTTTCTTGCCTAATTTCCCTGACTATAATCACCAGCATGATGTTGAATAACAGTGGTGAGAGCCGACATCTTTGTTTTATTCCTGATCTTAGGAGGAAAGAACTTAGTCTTTCACCATTAATTATGATGTTAGATGTGGGTTTTTTGTAGGTGTCCTTTACCAAGTTATAGAAGTTCACTTCTATACCTAATTTGTTGAGCATTTTTATCATGAAAGTGTGTTGAATCTTGTCAAATGCTTTTTCCGAGTCTATTGAGATGATTATGTGGTTTGGGTTGTTTTTTTGGTCTTGTAATTTGGTGCATGTTACATTGACTTTAGTATATAATCCTGGGATAAATCCAACTTGGTCATGGTGTATAGCTATTTTTATATGTTGTTGGATTTGGTTTGCTAATAGTTTGGTGTAGACTGTTGCATTTACATTTGATTTAGTTTGGTAGCATTTTGGTATGGACCTCATACCAAAGTTCCCTTGGTAGGTATATGGATTGTATATACTCAGAAGAAGTACTGTCTGTATTCTCTTCTTCTATAATGGCCTTTTCTGATTTTGGTATCAGGGTAATACAGACCTCATGGAATGGAATGTGTTGGCAAGTATCCTATTTTTGGAAATGTCTGAAGGGTCGTTGCCAGTTCTTTAGACATATTATGGAATTCATCAATGAAGATATCTGGTCCTGAGTTGTTCATGGGAAGTTTTAAAAAATATATTAATTTAGGCCAAGATGGCAGCATAGGTAGAGATGCCATGCTTCCTTACACAACCAAGTTTAGAGACAACTAAATAATAGCAACAGAAAACACAGCCAGAACACAGAAAATTGAACTTTTTGGAAGTCTGATAACAACAAATTCTTCAGCCTGACCGGTAAGAGGGGCGAAAGCAGCAGCTGGCAGAGCGGAGTAGCACAGGAAAACTCGGTCAGATGGACTCAGGCTCGTGGAATCCAGGCGCAGGGTTGGACCTGGTGGGCAACTCAGCAAGTGACCGTGGGGAAACAGCGAGGGAGCAGGGCTGCGGGTTGACTGTGGTCACGCATTCGTGTGTGGATAGACAAGCGAGGGAGTGGGCGACTGGACAAGAGCCAGCAGCCCCAGCGGCATGGGGCAGCGGAGGGCACCGCCATTTCCCCACTCTGACCCCACCTCCACATACAGAGTCACAACCCAGCGACCTGGGAGTTCAAGGCTCCGCTCTTCAGACTTAATGGGAGCAAACAGACCAAAAATGGCTCAAGAAGATCTCAAAGCCCCAGAGCCTATAAATCTAAGCGATGAAGAAATAGCAAAACTCTCAGATGCACGGTTTAAAACACTGGTGATCAGGATCCTCACAGAACTAGTTGATTATAGCCACAAATTAGACAAACATATGAAGGCGAAACTAATTGAAATGAATGGAATTGCACAGGAAACCAATAGCAATGAAGAGGAAACTGAGACTCAAATCAATGGAGTGGACCAGAAGAAAGCAAATAATGGCCAAACAGAAAAGAGTGAAGAAGCAAGAATTCAAAAAAATGAGGAGAGTCTTAGGAGCCTCCAGGACAACTTTAAATGCTCCAACATCCAAATTATAGGGGTACCAGAAGGGGGAAAGGAACAGCCACCAGTGGAAAACTTATTTGAACAAATAATAAAGGAGAATTTCCCCAATCTGGCAAAGGAAATAGACTTCCAGGAAATCCAGGAAGCTCAGAGAGTACCAAAGAAGTTGGACCCAAGAAACACACCAAGGCACATCATCATTACATTAGCCAAGATCAAATGAAGGAGAGAATCCTAGAAGCAGCACGAGCTAAGGGGACAGTCACCTACAAAGGAGTCCCCATCAGACTGTCAGCCGATTTCTCAAAAGAGATCTTCCAGGCAAGAAGGGGTTGGAAAGAAGTATTCCAAGTCATGAAATCCAAAGACCTATATCCAAGATTGCTCTATCCAGCAAAGCTTTCATTTAGAATGGAAGGACAGATAAAGTGCTTCTCAGATAAGATCAAGTCCAAGGAGTTCATCAGCACCAAGCCCTTATTATATGAAATGTTAAAGGGACTTATCTAAGAAAAAGAAGTTAAAAAAACATGAATAGTGAAAGGACAACAAACTCACAGTTATTAACAACTACACCTAAAACAAAAGCAAACTAAAAGGACAGCTAGATCAGGAGTGGAAACATAGAAATGAAGATCTCAAGGAGGGTTAGCAACAGGGGAGTGGGAGGAGGAGAAGGGGGGAGAAGGTACAGAAAATAAGTAGCATAGACAGTAGATAGAAAATAGATGGGGGGGCAAGAATAGTATGGGAAATATAGAATCTAAAGAACTTGAGACACATGGTCATAAACTAAAGGGGGGGTAATGGTGGGAACGGGGGGGTAGGGTGGAGGGGAATGAAGGGGGGAATAGAATAACTGTAACAGCATAATCAATAAAAATATTTTAAAAAATATATATTAATTTAATTTCTGTACTTGTTATAGGTCTGATATGATTTGTTTATTATTACCAAGTCAGTTTTAGTAGTTTGTCTTTCTAGGAGTTTGTCCATTTAATTTATGTTATCTCATTTGTTGTCCATGCAATTGCTCATAGTAACCCCTTAAAGTCCTTTTTTATTTCTATAAGGTCAGTAGTAATGACCCTTCTTTTGTAAATGACCCTTAGAAATGTCCATGTTTCTTCATAATTTTAGTAATTTGAGTCTTCTCTTTTTTGTCTTGGTTAGTCTAGCCAAAGGTTTATTTTGCTGATCTTTTCAAAGAACCAACTTTTGGGTTTCTTGATGTTCTTTATTTTTCTAATTTCTATTTAATTTACTTCCACTCTACTCTTTATTCTTTTCTTTGCTCTGTTTGTTTTAAATTAATTTGCTTTTCTATTTGTAATTTCCTAAGATAAAAGATTAGGTTATAAATTGAGATGTCTTTTCTTTTTTAATGTAGGCATTTGGAGCTAAGCACTACTTTGGGTGTGTATCATAAGTACAAAGTGATTTCTTCTTTGACCTATTGTTTACTTGGGAATGTATTTAGTTTCACATATTTCTTTAATTTTCCAATTTCCTTCCTGCTATTGGCTTCTAATTCCATTCTATTGTGATCAGAGAACTAATTATGTACATTTCCATTATTTTAAATTTATTAAAACTTATTTTATGCCTTAATATATGACCTGTCACAGAGAATGTTTTATTTGAGAAGAACGTGAATTCTGCTGTTGTTGGGTGGAGTGTTCTATGAATGTCTGTCAAGTAGAGCTGACTTACAGTGTTGATCAAGCCTTCCATTTCCTTCTTGATCTCTTACGTGTTCTTCCCATTACTGAAAGTGTGGTATTGAAGAATCCAACTATTATTGTTTAATTGTCTATTTCTCTTCAATTCTGTCAGGGTTTGCTTCATCTATTTTGGAGCTCTGTTGTTAGTTGCACATATATTTATGATTATTACATGCCCCTAATGGGCTGATCATTTTATTATTATAAACTGCCCTTCTTTGTCTCTAGTAACAATGTTTGTCTTAAAGTGTATATTGCCTGATATGAATATTGCCACTCTAGCTCTTTCTTGGTTGGTTTTCATAGTATATTTATTTCAATTCTTTTACCTGCAGCCCATTTGTTTCTTTGAATCTAAAGTATGTGTCTTGTTGGCAACACACTCTTGAGTATGTTTTTTTATCTATTCTGCCAATTCCTGCCTTTTGATTGGAGTGTTCGGTTAATTTATATTTAAGTAATTACTGATAACATAGGGTTTATGCCCACCATTTTATTTGTTGTTACATGTAACATCTTTCTGCTCCTTTTTTGTTTTTGTAAAATATTAGTTTTAGTATATCATTTTAATTTCCTTGTTTATTTTACCATATTTTAAAAAGGATATTCTTACTTTTTGCCCTGTACATCTTAGCTTATAACAATCTAGTTCAAGTTAAAATCATTCCATGTTCTCCCTCTCCTTTGTGCTTTTTAAAAAATACATTGTATGCCCATCAATACAGGCTTATAATTATTGCTTTATGAAGTTGTCTTTTATATCAGATAGCAGAATAAAAGTTATAAACAGAAAAATGCATTTATGTTGTCTTTTATATATACCTATAATAGTTAACTCTTAATGCCCTTTATTTCTTCATGTGAATTCAAATTAGTTTCTAGTGCTCTTTCATTTCAGCTTGAAGGACTCCTTATATTGTAAAGCAAGTCTGTTGGCCATTAATTTTGTCAGTTTTTGTTTACCTAGGAATGTCTTAATTTCTCCTTCATTTTTGAAGGACAGTTAGTGTATTCTTGGCTAATTTTTTTTCCTGTTTTTGAAATATGTGATCCCACTGCTTTCTGGCATCTATGGTTTCTGGTGAGAAATCACCTGTTAATATTATTGCAGAACATTTGTATGTGATGAGTCACTTCTCTTCTGCTGCTTTCAAGATTCTCTTTATCTTTGGGTGTGGATGGTTTGATGATGATGTGTCAGTTATGGATCTCTGTGTTTATCATTCTTAAAGTTTGTTGATGGGTAGATTCATATTTTTCAGCTTGCTTTGGACCTTTGGGCTATTATTTCTTCAGACATTCTTTCTTCCCATTATCTCCCCTTTCTCTTTTATGAAATTCCCATCATGGTTATGTTAATACTCTCAATAGTATCCCACAGGTTTATGAGGCTTTGTTTATTCTATTCCATTCTTTTTTCCTTCTGTTCCTCAGACTTGATAATCTCAATTAGCCTATTTTAAGTTGGCTGATTGTGTCATCTGACTGCTCAAATCTGATGTTGAGTCCTTCTAGTGAATCAGCTAAAATATACACCACAAAGTTCAACCTCATGTCATACACACTGACGAGCCCTGTGTGTTTTCACTTAAACACTTGCTTTCCTACTGCCACACAGTTCTGACAAGCTGGTTATCTGTTTCCAGTGCAGGGAAGATCAGAAAAGAGGCTGGTTAGAGACTATTCCCCCAACAAAACAAGAAATGACAGGAAAATTATAAGAAGGAAACATCTCCTAGTGTTAAACCACAGAGGTCAGACCATTTCGCTTAAAGACGAACTATGCTTCATACTTATTAGCTCTTAAGAGGTTTTCTGTATTAAAGTATTACATAGTAGTTGATTCTCATAATGAAGATTTCAAGCCAGTGAACAAAGGTTACATGTTTGTTCAGTAGCTGTAGAATCTGCTTAGGAGAGCTGGGAGACATAAACTTTTAAAAATGCAAAGAGTTTTAACATTCAAAGAGGTTTCACTAGCATGAGACATCAAACTCAGGTGTCTCAAAAAGTGGTGACAGATAAAGAAAGTATATCCCCTTGGCTTATAAATGTAGATATATAACTACAAATTTATATGTATATTTCAACTAAATTAGCAGATGTTGTCAAATGAACTGATAAATAAGCAAAAAAAGAAATTCTGTGGGAAGAATTGGGCCTCTTTTGGTGGATTTTATGATGGAAGAAGACTTAAGCTGCCCAGTTCAACCTCTCTCTGAATGCAGGAATCTTTACTAAAATCCATGTAAAGTGATCATCCCAGCCTATGATTGAGCACTTTGAGAAACCGGGGTGGAGATGACATCCTGATAAACCTTTCTATTACTGGATAGCTGATCAGAAAGATTTTCCTAAACTTAGCTGCGATTTGCTGTTCTGTAAATTCCTTTTCGACCTCGAGTTCTAGGATCAACATAAAGTAATGTTACTTCCACCTCCTCTTCCTCTTTCACATGTTGACCCTTTAAACATTTAAATACAACTACTACTGCTTCCTTGGTCTCTTCTCTAAGCTAAACATGTCATTTACATTAACTATTTTTCATATAACATAGTTTCCAAAAGCCTCAACATCTCATTTATCTCCTTCTGAATAGTCTCAAATTTATTATGTTTATTTTTTTATTTTTCAATTACAGTTTACATTCAATATTATTTTGTATTAGTTTCAGGTGTACAGCATAGTGGTTAGACAATCGTATACTTTACAAGGCGGTCCCGTGATGTTCCAGGTGCCCACCTGGCACCGTACATACTTATTATAATGTTATTGACTATATTCCCTGTGCTGTATTTTATATCCCCATGACTATTTTGTGACTACCAGTTAGTACTCCTCAATCACCTTACCTTTTTCACCCAGCCCCCCAACCCTAAGGTATAACATCCATAACTGGAGATACACGCCTAATGTGTTCTGACTAAAGTAGTACACAGTAGTACTGCCACTTTCCTGTAATTGTGCACTGTACATATTCCGTTAATGGAACCTAGCATATTCCAGCAGACACATTACAATCTTAGCTCCCTCGTGGAAGGTATCACTAAGCTGTCTTTTAAAGACAAGGAGAAACTCGACATTCAAAGCAAAAGGGAGATCATGTGCAAAGTCACAGAAGCATAAAAGAACATCAAGTTCTATAAATTGCAAAAACCTGTAATGTTTCATTGCACACTTCCTTTTAATTGGCTGACACTGATTAAGTTTAGTATGTCAAATGTAATTACTGATGAAGATCTGATTATCTACAGTTGCTGAAAATATTATTTACCCTGGTCCTTTGAAACACAAGATAACTTTTAGTTTAGGCAACTGTATACACTAAAATAAGAACAACAATATTGTGACACTTAACCAGATTAGATTAGAATTTATGGAGGGTCTTGAGGTATCTACCTATCTGTTAGATGCATTATCTTGAATCTGTTGGGCTGTGCTAGCTTCTGGATCCTTTTGGAAGGTTTTTTTAACAGCACAGGAGAAGGCATATCCCAGATTACAGATTCTCTGCCGCAGCTGTAGTAATATTGAACCCTGCAAGTTGGAGAAAGAAAAGAAGTGAAACAAGCATGAATTCAAATCACTTGAATTCAAACATTGACACTCTCAGGTCTAGAGAAATGGGCCTGACAGCTTATCCCTTTACTGCTGAGCTCTTTTCTATGTGGGAAGAAATTAGAAATGGTTGCAGCCACCATGTTTTTAGCTGTCTTGTAATACCCTATTCCAAAACAGACAATTTACCATGATAAATTAATTGCATCTTTTAAACAGAGCAAAAAATATACTAACATGGTTACCACCATTGTTTTCAGGTGGTTTCTAATATCCTGTTCCAAACAGATAACTTTCTGTAATAAACAAATTGCATCTTCTAAACAAGCAAAAAAATACATTGATAAAGAGAAAATTTGCTGCTTTCAAACCAAATAATTTTTTTAACTTCTACATAGACACTTTAAATATTTTACTATATTTTTAGTTAATAGTATGAACTACGTTGATGTTTTTCCTTGTGAAAAGGAACTCTGATTTTAGGAATAAATTCTACTTGACTATGGTATATAGGTTATTTCATCATTATTTGATTTTGTTAACTAAGATTTTATTTAGGGTAAATAACCATACTGTTCTTATCACTCCTGCCTCTCAATCTTTTCTTAATCAAGATACAGTACATCATCACTGGGGAAGGAAGTGACATGAACTACTTTGAACCTGGTGTTAAATCAGATTGCAGGCCCACTTCTGCTTCTATTATTTTCCTAAGAACTTCTGCTCCTTTAACGTTTTCATGGATGTGAATCTGCATCCATTTGCTCAGGCCTCGGTCTTCTGGTTGGTGATGTAAGTTTGGGTGTGTGTTTAAGCCTGTATCTCCCTCCCGTGCTTGTGACCATCCAGGCTGGAGGCCTGTCCACATACCACATATCTGCTCTCAGAGGGCTTGAGCCTGCCCAGCCCACACTCCACTGCCTGACTGGGCTGACGCAGCCACCCTCACCCACATACACAGCCAAACTCAGACAGGCAGGGAACCTCCTGTACTTTCCTGGGTTAGGTGATTTTGACCAATGGGGCACTTCGATAGACCAGACCCTGGTAAGGAGTATGGGAGGAGTGGGAAGAATGAGAGGAAGAAGTTACTAGGCAGCCAACGAGCACATGAGCAAGATGTATTGGAGGGTAGGACAAAGGGTAGAAGCCCAGGGAGCAAGTGAGAAACAGAAAAAGGAAGATGGAAGGACACCAGAGACGTAATTCAATGATTCCACATTCTCTCCGCTGGGAACAGCAAACACCGAATGCCGTGAATATATGTACCAACCGTAAGACTTATGACTTACGCTGCCAGCACCTAGAAGTGTATGGGTGAGATGGAGGAAATAATACATTTTATGGTAATTATGAAGATTTAGTGAGAGGAGTATGTCATTTTATAAGTTAAAAAGCACTATTCAAATAAGATTTTATCATTAACCAACTGTATATTAATTTTAAATTTCATGTGTGCATATCTTTTCTCCTCGTTGTACTGCATATTAATAGTATGTAGTGCTGCTGTCTTTCTGTGCTTCTCCCCTCCAGTCATCCACACCCAAGTCTCACAATTCCATCAAGGTGGCAGGCACTCTCAGTTTCCACCTTAAGAAACTAGAAAAAAAAGAGCAACCCCCTCACCCCCAGTAATCAGAATAAAGGAAATAATAAAGAACAGAGCAGAAATTTAAAAAAAATAGTAAACAGCAAAATAATAGAAAAAATTGATGCAACCAAAAACTGATAAACTTCTAGCCAGAATGATTGGCGAAAAAGAAAGAAACAATTTCCAATATCAGAAGTGAGAGGAGGGGATCATCACTAGAGATTGGATGATATTAAAAGGACAATAAGAGAATATATGAACAAATTTAGGCCAGCACATTTTAAAACAGATGACATTGATAAATTCTTTGAAAAAACATATACTACCAATGCTCATTCAGAAAGAAATACTTTGAACAGCCCTTGTCAAAAGTTTAGTTAAGCTTCTTCATGGTATTATTGCCTTGAATCGATTCTGTTTGGCTAAGCAGCCTACAGTGACAAAAAATTAGTCCTTCATGCAAGCACATGCCCTCGATAGCAGCCCACTAAGTCACAAAGTAAATGCAAGTTCCTGATTTCACTTTATCCAGTGGCCCTTGGTCTAACCGTCTTCCCTGACTCCCAATACCTTGTCCTTACGCTTCCCTCCCAGAAGATCCCTGTGGAGCTCACTAAAGTCCCACTCTTTGGGTTTGAATTGGCCAATCTGGCTTTAGCCTGGAAATCCCAAAGCATTCTATCCATGGACCCTAATAAAAACATGTTCTGCCTTTCTTTGTCTGGACTCTGCCTTGACCTCCTTGTGTGACCTGTTGAGGCATGTCAGGTATTTCCTCTAGGACCTGCAAGCCATAAGCTTCTCTATTTCCATTTCCTTTATGATCTGGTATTGAACTGCAGTTCACCATCTGGCACCCTGTGCTCCACTTAGCAAGTATTAATTTGATGAATTCATAAGAGCCTTAAATCTATTAAATATATCAAATTTATAGTTAAAAATCTTCCCACCAAAAACCTCTAGGCCTATATGATTTCATTGATGTATTCTATCAAATATTTAAAGAAGAAATAAATATCAATTTTATATATTTTCCAATTCTATGATAACAGCATTACCATAAAAAAGATGTTATAAAAAACAAAGACATTACAAGAAAACTACAGACCAACATCCTTCATGGACATAGGTGCAAAAATGTTTTTCATTGGAACGCAGACGAGTGGTGCGTGCATGTCTATGGTGGCTTTCCCACTACAATGGCAGAGTTGGACAGCTGCAACAGAGACCTTGGCCTACTTTATATCTTGCACCTACCAGAAAAATTGCTGACTTTTGACTAAAGTTGCATATTGAAAAAGATGGAGAAATGGTCACCTCAATTGCCCTGAAAACCAAGCTTTAGATGAATAATAGTGTCTGAACCTTTTTTTTTCACTTTAATGTCCCTCACTACCTACACCCCTCTCCCCTCCCCACCACAGTAGTTCCTTAAAGAGCCAACCAGCAAAAAATCTAGTCATTTAACAAACATGTGCTAAAAGCAAATTGGCATTGGGCATCAAAAGTCTTGACAACATTCTCCCCTTCAGATGTCCTAATTAACTTGTGGTAATCAAGCTCTTGGGGGGTTTACAAAATTCATAAAATTCCATGCACAAATAAGTTATCCACAGCAATATTACATTTGGTTTCTATCCTTGTATGATGCCCTTACTTTATTGAAATATAGAAATCCCGATAAGTTAAAACATTATCGAATATAGTACACATCTGCAGTAGCTAAATATTAGAGCTTGCTCTAGAAAAGTTTTACTGTAGCTTCATATTGGAAACATATAGACTCCCTAATCCTCAATAAATTTTGACTACAAGACTATTGATGACTTTTAGATAAAAAGGGATGGGTTCCGTGTTCATTTTTCTAAAGACTCCTGATAAAACAACCTGACAATATACAATACTAACCTGTTAGGTATGTATCTGTAGGAGACTTCCTTGGGCAAGGCAAGGTTTTCAAGTCTTTTGCTCATCTGAGTCTTCAAGGCACCATCGCAGACCGGGCGGATAGGATCTTGATTTCCCCAAAGCAGTTTTCTGTGAAAGAAAGAAAGAAAGAAAGGAAGGAAGGAAGGAAGGAAGGAAGGAAGGAAGGAAGGAAGGAAGGAAGGAAGGAAGGAAGGAAGGAAGGAAGGAAGGAAGGAAGGAAGGAAGGAAAGAAAGAAAGAAAGAAAGAAAGAAAGAAAGAAAGAAAGAAAGAAAGAAAGAAAGAAAGAAAGAAAGAAAGAAAGAAAGAAAGAAAGATGTTTAGTAAAATAAGCCAAAAAAAAAAAAAGGAAAGAAATTCACTGTTAATGAACATCTTAGACTACTTCTCTACTAATTTTACTTTAGTTTAAGAACTATCTCTATTATAAAATTTTACAATTTCCAACAGGCATCAGAAGCAGATAAACTACTTCATGTAAGTTGAAATTAAAATAAAATTAGATTGCTTTATCTATAACCTTAAAATGTGGTGATCAAAATGAACCTATTAGAGGTAGATAGTTCTGCTTCTGCCATCGGGTAGGTAACATGGCAATTTATAGTCAGTTCAACATAAAATGGTCACGCCACCTCTCTACACTGTGCCCTCACGTGGGTGATGAACTGTACCAGGTGGTCATAAAATAAAACAGAAGAGAGTAATATTAATAGCTATCATTTGTAGAATTCTTACTGTGGGCCAGGCACTAGGCTAAGTGCTTCACAGACTTCAGATCATTTAGTCTCAATACCCTGTGAACTAGGTATGATTACTGTACACAGGGTGAAGAGAGGGGGAAATCAGTCCCAGATTAACCTGACAAGGCTTCTTAGAAGTAAGTAGAAGACACAGACTGCCAGAAAAGAGGCACCTTTCAGGTTGGAGTAACTATGAGAAATGGGAATAAGCAAGGATTGGGCAAAGTGTGTTTTGGCAGAAAGCAGAAAGTCATGTTGGGAGTAATTAAGTCACATTTCCAGAATCAATGGGGAAAGCATTGAAGGCCTGGCTGAGGAATGGTAAAACTTACCTCAGTAACCTGACTTTGCACATACCTAAATTTGCCAGCTAATTGAGCTTATCCCTTTTAAAGGCCCCAGTCATTGTTTTATTTCTAATTTTGTCTATATTGTATATACTCTTCTGTCTCCAGTTTGCAAGCATCAGCCAGAGTCACTATTAGAAATGTTTATTAATAAATTAATTCATATCTCCATGTACTACATTGTACTGGTTCCTTTTCCTAAGTATGATTCAACTCTGTTGATTTCTCACCATCCCTGTGGCTATTTCCCTTGTCCAGATCTTAAATCCACATTTCTTTCTCCACAGCACTGTCAGAGTGATCTTTCTCCAGTCTGATCTGACCAAGTCATCTTGTTTAAGACACTTCAAAGGTTCCCACTTGCTTTAGAATCCAGTTCCAACTCCTCACTGTGGCTTACAAGGCCCTCCACAATTTTGACAAGGAGCCCCTTCCTCTCCACCCTACATATTCTTCCAGGAAAGAAATGTCTTAATCTTTTGGAGATTTCCCCTTCCACTGTTAAGTGCTGTGTGCAACAGGTGCTCAATCAGGGTTTGATGAATGAAAAAAATGGTGAAAACTGGGGACTCACCTAATGGTGATACAAAACAGAGACTAGAGAGGAGAGAACGACTTCAGGGAGAATAAGAGGCTAAAGCAGAAGCTTGTGTCCTCACATGGTGGAAGTGGTCAGGGTGCTCTCTACATTTTCTTGTATGAGGGCGGTAATCCCATTCATGAGGGCTCCCTGCTCATGACCTAATCACCTCCCAAAGACCTCGCCTTCTAATTCCATTGGGGATTAGATTTGAAAATATGAATTTTGAGGGGACATAAAGATTTAGTTGATAGCATCTGATAGAGAACTGGTATTCAGAAAAATACAAAGAACTCTTAAAATTCAACAATGGAAAACAATCAACCCAATTAAAAGAAAGACAAAAGTTCTGAACAGATACTTTACCAAAGAGGATATAAAGATGGCAAATAAACATGAAATATGCTAACATCTCATTAGGAAATTGCAAACAAAAACAATTAGATGTTATTACATACTTATTACAATGGCTAAAATACAAGAGACTAACAACACCAAATGCTGGTTGAAGATATGGAGCTACAGGAACTCTCATAAATTGCTGGTGGAAATGGCACAAACACATTGGAAGAGTTTCTTACAAAACTAAATATATTCTTACCATATCACCCAGCGATAGCACTCCTAGGTATTTACCCAAATGAGGTGAAAACTTCTATCTACACAAAAACCTGCACACAAATGTTTATAGCAACTATATTCATAATTGCCAAAAACTCTAAGCAACCAACATGTCCTTTACCATATGAATGGATAAATGTGGTGCACCTAGACAATGGAGTATTATTCAGCACTAAAAAGAAATAAATGATCAAGTCATGAAAAGACACAGAGGAACTATAAATGCCTATTGCTAAGTGAACGAAATCAGAAAAGGTTACACATTGTTTGACTACAACTACATGACATTCTGGGAAAGGCAAAACTATACATACAGTAAACAAGATCAGTGGTTGCCAGGGGTTTGGAGAGGGGAGAGAGAAGGAAATAAATGAATAGAAGGGGCACAGGTAATTCTTAGGGCAATGAAAGCATTCTGTATAAGACTATAATGGTAAATACGTGATTATGCATTTGTCAAAACACATAAAATGAACAACTTAAAAAGTGAACTCTAATGTTAACTGTAGACTTTATTAATAATAATGTGGTGATATTTGTTCATCAACTATAACAAATGTACCACAATAATGCAAGCTGTTAAAAATAGTGGAAACTAGAGGAGGGGGTAGTAATATAGAAATTCTATTGTACTTTTGCTCAATTTTCCTGTAAACCTAAAACTACTTTAAAAATAAAGTCTATCAATTTTTTTTAAAAAAGCAATAGAAGATCAGAAAAGAAGTGAAAAAATTCAGGCTTTACTCAAGAGCTAAACAAGAAAAGGGGTTGTCCTGTAGCTAAGAGTGGAAGGACAGTGGGTTCAGCCTGCTGGAGATTTAGAGAACAGGTGTGCTCTAGACAGAGGCTTAGAGGCAGCAGGACCAGATGTTAGAAGCAGCAGCCTGAAGGATGGACACAAGAGTTTCAAAGGAGTGTGGAGTAACACCCTGGGATGGTAGTTTTCAAACCTGTCTGCCTGCTAGAATTACCTGGGGAACTTTTAACAGTCCTGAAACCTAGGTTGAACCCCAAATCAAGTCAGTCAGGATTTCTGGGGATAGGACCCAAACATTAATTCATTTTAAAGATCTCCAGGTGATTCTAATGCACAAGTTTGAAACCCACTGACAGAGGGGTTTGCTTTCATGTGTTGACTCAACTGAAGTGATAATATTTGTTCAGTAGATCCAGTTGAGCAGTGAGGTGGATACACCTAGGATGCAAGGTATGTGGGCAGGTAAGAATAATACTTACCTATATATTGTAAGGAATACATAATCACAAACAAAACCATATAATATTTTCTTACCTATCTGGGGTTCCCCATTGTTTTTTAGGCTTAGAAAGATCCCGGATTCTCTTCCTAGAAAAAACACTAACAAATACCAGCTGATTAATTCAAAGAGAACACTTATAAATATGGTTACATTAGATGACTTCTACTCAAACAAATCCCATCTGAGGGAGAAAAAAAACAATATCTTATTTGATGTGATATATCTTATTTGATGTGATTTGAAGAATTCTAAAGAGCTTAAGGTATTCAAAAAATATTGTAGACCCAAAATTCTCACTTCTAGAATCAATGATATACTCAGAAAGATTCAAGATGGTGGAGAAGTAAGTAGAAGCTACACTAACCTCCTCTCAGGACCAATCTGGAATTACAACTAAATTGTAGAGAAATCATCCGGAATAACCAACTGAACAGCTGGTTCAGCTATTGCTGGTAAACAACCAGCTATTGCTGGGAGAAGCCTTATAACCATGGAGAGACAGACAGAAGAAACCACTTTACCACAACGTGACGGGTATGAGGTGCAGAGGGTATGAGATGTGGGAGGGCTGGCTGGGCTCTCATGGGTGGCAGCTGAAGTCCCAGAGGGATATTTCAGCAGCTGGGGGTTCCCCCTGAGAAGTGTCTGGTCTAAACCCCAAGCTGGGTTCCCCAGCCCAGATCACCAGAGCCAGAAAAGAACCCAGATAACATCCAGCTGTGAAAACTGGCAGGGTTTCTGTCTGCCAGAGAGAGATGGCTGGAGATACAGAGAGCCTTTTAAAGGGCCAATGCACAAAAATTTATTTGCAGCCATTTACCCTAGCTCTGGCAAAGCTGGGGGTGGGGTGGACAGAGTGAGAGAAAAATTTTAATTTCTTTTAAACCTAATACTATTTTAATTTTAATTTCTTAAAATTAAAAAAGAAATTTTAATTTCTTTTAAACCTAATACTAGGTTTCTTTTAAACCTAATACTTCTCATCTCTTACTCCATTCCACCATATTCTGTCCCTTTTTTATTTATGATGTAAGTTTTACTTTCTTCCTCTCTTCACCTTGTCCCTATTCCCTAATCTTATTGCTCCTACCCTTGCCCTCTCAAGATATTTTTTCTTTCAGTTAGTCATCTCATGTTCATTTTTACTTTCTCATAATAGCTTTAACCTCTGTATACCTTTATTAATATTGGCTCATTTGCTATTGATAGTGTGATTGTGGGTGGGGTTATTTTTGCAGGTGTGAGTTTATTTCCTGGGCTGTTTGGTTTTGTTCTGGCAGCACCTGCACAATGGCATGCATGACATGGTGGGCAGAGTGACTCTGTCAGCCAGCTGGGGGGAAGGACCCACCACAGAATGACCCAACAACAACCAAAACCCAATTATAACTAGAAAGCCCATGTAAATGGCATAAAGGGTGTCCTATCAAGTTTAAGAGAGCAAGGAGCATGCACCACTGAATCCCACAGGTTTCTACCACAGAGGGTCAGTCACACCATGAAGACAGGGAGTCAAAACAGATCAATCTAAGAAGTGGAAACAAACCAGAAGAGTAATCTAAAATGAAACTTAAAAGAAACAACTCCCAATTAAAAGAAAAAGAGGAGTCTTCAGAAAGAGTGCATTTAGAGAATGGGGACAGAGATATATAATGGAGATAGCACAATTTTGTCAGAGAATCAAACCAAATCAACCACACAAAAGGAAGAATCAGAATAATAATCATAATTAAAATAATAACAAAAATATTTAAAAGACACTCTCTAAACAGTCTTTAAAAAAAAAAGTATAGCCCTGGCTGGTATGACTCAGTGGACTGAGTGCCAGCCTGCAAACCAAAGGGTTGCCAGTTCAATCAGGCATATGCCTGGGTTGTAGGTCAGGTCCTCAGCTGGGGGTGTGTGAGAGGCAACCACACATTGATGTTTCTCCCTCCCTTCCTCTCTCTAGAAATAAATAAATAAAATCTTAAAAAATATAGAAATAATTTTAAAAATTTAAAAAGTATAAACACTAGGTAAACAATGGCCCTGTCTATTTAGCCACAGGATAGTTTGCTCACTCAGCATACGTTTATTTTAGTGATGTGGTATTTTAAATGGACACTTGATAACAACCAGTAAATGTTAGTTCTACCAACTGTTCTGCTCAGCCACCATACAACCTTGAGAAAGTGACATAATTTCTCTGAATTTCATTTTCTCAAAAATGTAGTTAATTATATCCGCACTATTGACTTCTCAGGATCCTTGTGGAAAAAAAAAATTTCACTGCAAAGCATTACATAAAAATAAAGTAGCAGTTTTACTGCCTGAAAGGAGAAAAAAACCTAGAAAGCAAAATACATAGAAAATGTAAAATAAATCTGAATAATAACAATATATGTAAACGTTAAATAATAATAATAAATATAGGACTTCCGCCAAGATAGAGAAGTAGGTGGAGGGTCCACCTCGCCTCTGTGCACAACCAAATCTAAGAACAACTATTTTTAACAGCAGTCACAACCAAGCCACACGGAAAATCGAGAATACGGAGTCCAAAGGACAACTAGATACTCGGCTGGACCGGTACGAGGAGCAAGGCCAGCAGCGGAGCAGGTTAGCAAGAAAAAATTCCCGGGGCGGTGCGCGGAGCGCAGGCAACCGAGGACGCTGATCGCCAGTGAGCTGGCTGCCGGAGCGCACACGGAAGAGGCGCGGAGGGTACGTCGGTCGCGCGCATTTACGTGCGGAGAAACCAGTGAGAAGGGAAACCCACGCGGTGCAGCAGGCTCGCAAAATTAGGATCGGATAAGCAAGCCCGAGGCGTTTGAGTGTCTGGACGCGCTGGGCTAGCGGAGAGGAACACCATCGCTCCCTCTCTGACCCCGCCCCCACACACAGCGTCACAAACCAGCGACCTGGGTCGCCCCGTCCTGGTAAACAACTAAGGCTTCGCTCCGCTCACTTAACAGCACGAATAGACCAAAAATGGCTCTAGGACAACTCAGAGCCCCAGAACCGATAGACCTAAGTGATGAAGAAATAGCCAGTCTTTCAGATGCACAGTTCAAAACACTGGTTATAAAGATCCTTACAGAACTGGTGGATTTTTGTCACAAATTAGAGAAACATATGGAAGCTAAATTAATTGAAATGAATGCTGATACAAAAGATACCAATAGTAATGGAAAGAAAATTGGGACTCAAATCAAGGGAGAGAACCAGACGGAAGAAAAAAATGATCAAACAGAAAGGAATGAAGAAATAAGAATTCAGAAAAATGAGGAGAAGCTTAGGAACCTCCAGGACATCTTTAAACGTTCCAACATCCAAATTATAGGGGTACCAGAAGGGGGAAAGGCACAGCCACCAGTTGAAAAATTATTTGAACAAATAATAAAGGAGAATTTCCCCAAGATGGCAAAGGAAATAGACTTCCGAGAGATCCAGGAAGCTCAGAGAGTCCCAAAGAAGTTGGACCCAAGAAGGAACACACCAAGGCACATCATCATTACATTAGCCAAGATTAAAATGAAGGAGAGAATCCTAGAAGCAGCAAGAGCTAAGGGGACAGTCACCTACAAAGGAGTTCCCATCAGACTGTCAGCTGATTTCTCAAAAGAGCCCTTACAGGCAAGAAGGGGCTGGACAGAGGTATTCCAAGTCATGAAAACCAAAGATCTACAACCAAGATTGCTCTACCCAGCAAAACTTTCATTTAGAATGGAAGGACAGATAAAGTGCTTCTCAGATAAGACCAAATTCAAGGAGTTCATCATCACCAAGCCCTTATTATATGAAATGTTAAAGGGACTTATCTGAGAAAAAGAAGATAAAAAAGATGAACAGTGAAAGGACAGCAAACTCACAGTTATTAAGAACCACACCTAAAACAAAAGCAAACTAAGAGGATAGCTAGATCAGGAGCAGAACCATAGAAATGAAGATCACATGGAGGGTTAGCAACAGGGGAGTGGGAGGAGGGGAAGGGGGGAGAAGGTACAGAAAATAAGTAGTATAGACAGTAGATAGAAAATAGATAGGGGGGAGGGTAAGAATAGTAGGGGAAATACAGAATCTAAAGAATTTGAGACACATGTTCATGAACTAAAGGGGGGAAAGGGTGGGGGAGGGGTATGCAGGGTGGAGGGGAAGGGAGGGGGGAATAGAGCAAATGTAATGGCATAATCAATAAAAAATAAATAAATAAATAAAAGAATGAAAAAATAAATAAATAAAAGCAGAGATTAAGATAAAATTAAAAAAGAGTTTTACATAAAAAACAATAAATATAAATGGTTTAACTCACTTATAAAAAAGAGTGAATAAAAATTAAATCTGCTATTATTTATTTCTCATCTATATGAACCATTGATATGAATGCTTGGAATTTCTCTTTAATGATTCCATTCTTAAACCTCTTTCTAACAATATCTTAGCCAAACCAAATCTTAGCCAAACCAAGAGTAAACATCTATTTTTCATGACTTCCCACCAAGATGGAGGCGTAAGTGAAAACACTGTACCTCCTTGCACAACCAAATTTAAGGACAACAAAGATTTACAAACAAAAACACAACCAGAACAGACAGAAAACTGAACTGTATGGAAGTCGGACAACAACAAACCATTCATCCAGATGGGTAAGAAGGGTGGAGTCTGTGGCCAGCAGAGAAGGGTCCTGGCTGGAAGAGGTGGTGGTTAGCAGAACTGGGTGTGGGGAAGAAATGAGCAAACCCAGTGAGGTGCGCAAGGTGGTTGGCTGACCGCGGTTACACATTTGCGCTTAGATAAACCAAGCAAAAAACAAGCGGTGAGACAGACCGAGCAACCCAGGGCCACAGCGACTGGAAATAAAACCTAAAAGCACCAATTGGAAAAACTTTCAGGGGGGTGAGATACCAGGAGAGGCTCCCAGCCTCACAGGAATGTTTGTTGCAGAGACTTACAGGGTTCTAGAACGTATACAAGCCCACGCACCTGGGAACCAGCACCAGAAGGGCCCAATTTGCTTGTGGGAAGCAGCAGAGGGGACTGAAATCCAAGAGAGAGCGGAGCAAGCGCCATTGCTCCCTCTCTGACCCCGCCCCCACATACAGCGTCACCACCCAGCAACTGGGTTGCCCCGCCCTGGTGAACACCTAAGGCTCCGCCCCTTATACACAACAGTTGTGACCAGACTAAAACATTATGGCTCAAACAGAAGAACAGCTCAAAGCCCCAGAACCAATACTTCTAAGTGACAAAGAGATAGCCAACCTAGCAGATGCACAGTTCAAAACACTGGTGATCAGGATGCTCACAGAACTGGTTGGTTTTGGTCGCAAATTAGATGAAAAAATGAAGGCTACACTAAGTGAAATGAAGAAAAATGCATAGGGAACCAATAGTGATGGGAAGAAAACTGGGACTCAAATCAGTGGAGTGCACCAGAAGAAAGAAAGAAACATCCAGTCAGAAAAGAATGAAGAAACAAGAATTCAAAAAAATGGGGAGAGGCTTAGGAACCTCCAAGACATCTTTAAACATTCCAACACCTGAATTATAGGGGTACCAGAAAGGGAAGAGGAACAGCCACAAGTGGAAAACTTATTTGAACAAATAATAAAGGAGAATTTCCTCAATATGGCAAAGAAAATAGACTCCCAGGAAGTCCAGGAAGCTCAGAGAGTCCCAAAGAAGGTGGACTGAAGGAGGAACACACCAAGGCACATCATCATTACATTAGCCAAGATCAAATGAAGGAGAGAATCCTAGAAGCAGCAAGAGATAAGGGGACAGTCACCTACAAAGGAGTTCCCATCAGACTGTCAGCTTATTTCTCAAAAGAGATCTTACAGGCAAGAAGGGGCTGGAAAGAAGTATTCCAAGTCACGAAAGGCAAGGACCTACATTCAATATTGCTCTATTTAGCAACGCTTTCATTTAGAATGGAAGGGCAGATAAAGTGCTTCTCAGATAAGATCAAATTCAAGGAGTTCATCATCACCAAGCCCTTATTATATGAAATGTTAAAGGGACTTATCTAAGAAAAAGAAGATAAAGAAGATGAACAGTGAAAAGACAGCAAACTCACAGTTATTAACAACCACACCTAAAACAAAAGCAAACTAAGAGGACAGCTAGATCAGGAGCAGAGCCACAAAAATGGAGATCACATGGAAGGTTAGCAACAGGGGAGTGGGAGGAGGAGAAGGGGGGTAAAGGTACAGAGAATAAGTAGCATAGATGGTAGGGAGAAAATAGACAGGGGGAGGGCAAGAGTAGTGTAGGAAATGTAGAAGCTAAAGAACTTATGACACATGGACATGAACTAAAGGGGAGGGAATGTGGGGGGAGGGAGTGTGCAGGGTGGACAACTATAAAGGCATAATCAATAAAATATATTAAAAAAAGAGTAAACATCTATTTTTCAGAAGATACCTATTTTGTACACTGTATGCATGTACATGTGCACAGAAACATATTTTTTTTATAGAGGGCATTTTCTTGAAGTATCACTAATTGTTGTACTTGAATTAGAGTCAGGGGAGAGTGGAATACATTGAGCTGGAGCTTCACAAAATCTATGATATGGGATTGTCAATGCAGAATCCCAAGTCCCATAAAGTTTCATACCTAGTATGTAACACCTAGTATTTAGCAAACAAGTAAAACACTGAAAATAGAAGAGTTCTCAGGCATCTCTTTTCCCCATCTCATTTCTTAATCACTTTCTTTCTCTACTTTCTTTTTCCCAAAGGAACTGTCATTAGAAAAGGGCTTTATGACAAAGAGAAAGCACAGGAACCTTCTCAAAAACCCCAAGTTAGGCTTTCACATCAAATGCCCCCAAATGAATTTGTTCCATTCAGCTAGGCTGGTCCACTGAAGTCTGGAAGAATGGTACTGTAACTACGGCCTTACCGTTTCCTTACAAACTCACGGGGAACGGGATCTGCAAAAATGAAAAGTAAATGTAAAAATTAGCTTCAATAAGAATCAAAGACATATAAAGATAGTATCGCCAATCAATAGAGAAAGGAGTTAAGGAAAAAGAACTATAGGGGAATGGCCAAGTTAAATGTGGCACATTACCAAAATAGACCATAGTTCATAAGCCACAATTGAGGAGTTAAATATTTTTCTAAGTTGAATTAAAGCAAAAATAATAGAATATCTACCTAATCACTGGATTTTAATCTGAGTTGAAGGTGACAAAAGACATAGAAGAGCCCTGGCTGTTGTAGCTCAGTGGCACGTGCCTGAGTGGCAGGTCAGGTCCTGGGGACGTGAAAGAGGCAACCAGTTGATGTTTCTCTCACACATCAATGTTTCTCTCGCTGTCTTTCTCCCTCCCCTCTCCCATCTCTGAAAATATGTAAATGAAAGCTTTTTAAAAAAGACAGAGGAAAATATTAATAGATTAAAATATTTAAAACTACAACTTCTGTATGTCAAAAATTAAAACTTAAAGAGTTTAAGAATTTGGAGAAATATTTGGCAGCAAGTATGATAAATGCTAACAGTCTTAATATTTGAAGAATGTAAAAGTATAGATGAATAAGAAAACACTAAGGTAGATGTTAACAGTTAAATGGACAAAGGATAGAATTGAATTCATGTATAAAGACATATAAAGGGCTAATAAACATAAAGTTCAAACTTGCTTGTAATCAAAACAATGCAAATAAAAATGAGGTATTTTTTAAACTATCAAACTGGCAAAAACATTTTTTTGCAAAGATAATGATGCTGAAAGGATAATGAGAGGCAAGTACTCTTGGTACTGCGGATGGAAATTTAAATTAGTGCACTTCATAAAAAATAAACGGAATGAGTCAGCAGTGATTACATTGCTTAATCCAATTCTACTTCTAGAAATGTACCCTAAAGAAATAATGCCAAGTGTGGACAAAGATTTATGGATGAAATTGTTCATTGCAATATCTTTAACAGTGGAAAACTGGATACACCTGAAATGTCCCCAACAGAGTAAGTGGTTAAGCAAACTAAAGTTCACATTAAGAGGGGCTTTTTTTAAGTAGGAAAATGTGCAAAATCATACAGGCCAAGTTATGCAAATGCTTATTCTAATGGGCCTCATAATGACAGATTGTTCTCCTAGTTTCTGTTTGGGAGTTTTTCATTACATCCGAAATCACATTTTCTACTCTCTGGAATGTTTTGGTTAAGGAAAGTGGGTGTGCTCTGGCATCAAACAGACGTGGCTCAGCCCCCAGTTTTGTTAGTTGCACAGCTAGCTGTACAATCTTGGGCAAATCACTTATCTTCTCTGAGACTCAGTTTCCCCTTCTCAGATAAGAGGATGATAAGTAGGTCTGTGTAAAGGTCAGTGGCATGTATGAAAAGCACCTTGCACATCATAGATGCAGACGGATGAATGGCAGTTAGAATGATCAGTTACAACCTCAGTGTATCAAAGGAGATGTAGGAAGCACTCCAAGTACTGACTGGGCTTCTATGTGCAACATGGTGTCAGCTGTTGAGAGAATAAAAATGAGTAAGATGGGTCTCTCCTCTCAAGGAATTTACAACCTGGCGGGAAATAGGCTATGAACTTTTTTTTAAAGTACATGTAAATTTTGAATTTGGATATTTTCTATTGCTTTACTTTTTAAGGCTAAACTGACTCAGACCTAAGGAAAAGGTGAGAATTGCCAACGAAAATGCCCCTGGTGTCCATCCTTGCTGGCATCCATGAAACACGCACTCTCGTTCTGTGGGTTTTTCACGTGTTATTCCCACATGTGGCTTCCAGCTTTATCTGTACAGGTCAGAGAGTCAGGATAACACTGAATCAATCCTTAAACATCCTCTGCAAATACTAATGACATGAATGAATAATGCTCCTTCCTATTGCCCAACCTCCCACAGGTCGAACTTTCTCTGTGTATTTCAGAAACACATTTTAAATGTTATATCAGCTCTTAAGTGGCCATTGTTAGCTGATGTTCCAAGAAAAGCAGTAGTACGATGACTTCCACATTTGTCTTCCACATTAGAACCACCTGGAGGACCTTTTAAAAATTGCCGGTCTCAGGCCAACCCCTCAGCCCATTTAATTTGACCTCTGAGGGTGTGACAGGGGCACTAGTAATTTTTGAAGAAGACAAGTTTGAGGACTACTTCAATGCTGTTTAATGGCTAGGACACGAGCTCTGGAATCAGACTGCCTAGAACCAAATCCTGGCTCTAACCTCTGATCTCACGAGTTTACCCAAGCCCTCTGTACCTTACTTTCCTTGTGTTCTCACCTCAAAAGGTTGTTGTATGAAAGTTAAACAAGATAATATATGAAAAGCACTCTTATATTGGGCCCAGTGCCCAAAACACAGTATATACACAATAACTGGTAGCTTTCATGAATCCTAAAAATTCAGCAATTAAGGTTTTGTTTAAATTCCTGTGAATTAAAAAAAATGTTTAAGCCCTGGCTGGTGTAAATTGACTGCGGGCCTGAGAACTGAAGGATTGTGGTTCGATTCCCAGTCAGGGCACAGGCCTGAGTTGCAGGCAGTTCCCAGCAGGGGACGCACAAGAGGCAACCATACATTGATATTGCTCTTCTTCTCTCCTTCCCTTCCCCTCTAAAGATAAATAAATAAAATCTTTAAAAAAAAAAAAAGAAAAATATAAACAGAACCAACAGCGCAGGGAAGGAAGCCAGGATTCAAACCAATGATTTGGAACAAAAGAAACAAGAATTCAAAAAACAAAACAAAAATAAAAACAAAAACAAGGATAGGCCTAGGAACCTCTGGGACAACTTTAAACATACCAACATCTGAGTAATAAGGATGCGAAGAGGAGAAGAGGAAGAGCAAGAAGTTGAATACTTATTTGAAAAAATAATGAAAGAAAACTTCCCCATTTGGCAACAGAAATAGTCATACAAGTGCACAAAGAGTCCCAAGCAAGTTCGACCCATAGAGGACCACACCAAGACACATCATAATTAAAATGCCAAATGTTAAAGATAAAGAGAGAAACTTAAAAGCAGCGAGAAAAAAAGTGAATAATTATCTACAAAGGAGTTCCCATAAGACTATCAGATGATTTCTCAAAAGAAAATTTGCAGGCAAGAAGGGACTGGCAAAAAGTATTCAAAGTGATGAAAAGTAAGGATCTACAATCAAAATTACTCTATCCAGCAAAGTTATTATTTATAATAGAAGGGCAGATAAAGTGCTTCCCAGATAACATCAAGTTCAAGGAGTTCATCATCACCCAGCCCTTATTATATGAAATGTTAAAGGGACTTATTTAAGAAAAAGAAGATCGAAATATGAACAGTAAAATGACAACAAATTCATGGCTATTAACAACCAAACTTAAAACAAAACAAAAACAAACTAAACAATCAACTAGAACAGGAACAGAATCACAGAAATGGAGATCACATGGAGGGTTATCAGTAGGGGAGTGGGTTGGGGAGAGGGGAAAAGGTACAGAGACTAAGTAGCATAGATGGTAGGTAGAAAATAGACAGAGGGAGGCAAGAATAGTACAGGAAATGTAGAAGCTAAAGGACTTATATATGTATCACCCATGGACATGAACTAAAAGGGTGGGGGGGAGTGTAGGGTGGAGTGGAATAAAGGGGGGGAAATGGGACAACTGTAATAGCATAATCAATAAAAATATTTTTTTTACGTTTAAGTAATTGTCAAGGACACATTTACTACTAAGGGTTCTAACTATGAAAATCAGAATTAGTGAAATGATAACCTCATTGTGAACATGTACTCATTTGTAGTTTTATTGGTTTCTATATGTATTTATACCTTCCCCTCATTTCTAAAAAGATTTGAGGTCACTTACATAAATGCATATACTACAATAGAATATTATCTATTTTAAGATGAAAAATTCAAGGACAGAAGTAGAAAAATAGTGGAAGGAGAAGAGAAAGGAAAATAAAATTAAACAAAGAATGTAAAAGAGTGTAAAAGCCCAGCACAGTTGCAACTGAGCATTCTACCACTAAAAGCAAAACACACCAACTTTTTCTACTTCTAGAAAGAAATTTCTCTTGTGAAGTCTCACTGGTGTTATACAAGCAAAAAATAATCAGACGATAATAGAAAATGAAAGAATTTATTTTCTAATTGTTTCCTTCTTCAAACTTGACTCTTACTATGTTTTATGAAACCAAGTTAAATTAAGAAAAATAAGAATGTTTCCAGTAAAGTGCCACAAATGACTGAATGAATATAAGGCAAAATCCTTCTAAATTTTATTCCTCAGAAAAGATAAGGTTACCTTACATTCAAGCTTTTACAAGAAACCCATCTATGAAGCACTTTCCCAATTAATTGATTTTCCCACAAAGTACTGGTCAAGGGGAATGTGTTTGCCTGAAATAACTTAAATAAATGCTAGAATGGAAAATGCACAGAGCTGATATTGTTCTGACATTAGAGAAAAGCTTTCAGGTTTTTCATTATTAAGATTATTAGCTGAGGTTTTGCCATAGATGGCCTTTGTTATGTTGAGGTACTTTCCTACCCGTTTTACTGAGTGATTCAATTGCAAGTGGATGTTGTATCTAATCAAATGCCTTTTCTGCATCTACTTATAAAATCGTATTATTTTACCCTTTATTTTGTTAATATGGTGTATTGATCAATTTGTATATGTTGAACCATCTTCATGCCCCTGGAATGAACCCCACTTGATCATGATGTATTATGTTTTTAAGGTACTGTTATATTCGATTTGCTAGTATTTGGTTTAGGATTTTTGCATCTGTATTCATCAGAGATATTGGACTGTAGTTTTGTTTTTTTGTGTGTGTTCTATCATGCCCCTTAAATGTTTGTGTTTTATTTGATAAGCACATAAACCGCATTGCTCGAGTCGCCCTCTGGAGCGAGTGGGTGATCAGGTCTGTGCTCCAAACCATGTGATGGAGAGCGCTGCCATCTGCTGGGAGAAAGCTCCATTCAGACGCCGTCCGCTCCTGAGGTGCCCAGGCTCTCCTACCCAGGGAGTCCCATGTGTCATAATAAAGCCTTTTGTAACATGAGTGAAAATCAAAGTATAACTATTCTCCGCCTTGCCCTCTATCCTGCCTCCTAGGAGTCCACACTTGAGCTGCTCGACCTCTAGTCCTCGTGCCGAATGGGGTGCCAGCAATCTGCAAGCACCTCTCAGAACAGATCTGAAGGGCACAGAGGAGTGAGGAATTGAGGCAAGCAGGAGCTTGAGAGAAAAAGGAAGGTATTAGGGGGGAGTTGCTGTGATAGTGACAGGGACTTGGGAAGAAAATGCCTCAAGAACATTTTAGCAGGTTTTGCTCTGTTAGGTGGTATAATTTCTTTGAAAACACTTCAGGAAGACCTACAGTACCTTTCAAGGCTTTTTGAAATAAAATTCATGTTTGTTTTAGGTGTACCTTTGTTTTGAAGACCGGTGTTAGATCAGTCCAGTTCTCTATCGGGTGTGACCATGTAAACAAACACTGGGATGCTCCATGATGTGATATATTAAGCTCCATGGTCTGACACTGCTACTCATTCTTCCTTGGGCGTCTCCTAGGGACGCACAGCTCCCTAGCACTGTGCTCCCACTGCCGAAGCTCAGGGTCGGGTGGGCAAGAAATGGGAGGATGTGGGGAAGGATTTTGCTTGAGGATGAGAAGGCAGCGGCAGTAAGAGGGCAAGCCCTTCCTTCTGACTAACCAATAGCAAAAACGTGTCCTTCTACACAAACTAAAGCTCAAAAATATCACACCCCCAAGTAACGATTAAGGCACTCTCACACCCCTAAGTCTGCACCTTTGTGATTTTGTTCTATAATTTCAAATCCCATTTTCATATTCATTCGCCTGGGTGAAGATGGCACTGGGTAGACACTAGGAACTGGAGCTATAAGTCACACCATACACCAGGATAAATTCCAAATGGATCAAAGATCTAAGTGTTTTTTTTTTTAAAGTTGATAAAAGAAAACACATGGGTGAATTCCTTTGTAACCTAAAAGTAGAAAAAGGCCTTTCTAACGATGACTCAATACAGAAGCCATGAAAGAAATGATTGATAAATTTTACCATAAAATGTGTTTAGGGAAAAACAACAACAACAACTACAAAGATAAGCAAAGACAGACAGACCACCGGCAAAGTGAAACGAATGTGATACATATCCCAGACAAAGGGCGAATCTCCCTGGATACAAGGGGGAAATCTAGCAAGTCAAGGAAAGTGGGCATGAAGAAATATATACCAAAAATGACACTTAATAACCCTCATAAAATAAGATAATTACAAATGAAAACTTAATTGACATACTACTTGTTTCTCATGTATTAGATTTTCAAAAAGCCAAAAGTTTGAACACATTCCAGTGATGAGGCTACAGAGAAATAAAAGCTCCCACTGCCAGTGGGCGTACCAAGGGAATCAACTCCCACGTACACAGTTGTCTGTTTTTCTGTTCTCATCATCTGTTTTTCAAGTGCAGCCAAGAATTGACAAGAATATAGAGGGAGAGGCAAGGGCGTTCGGGGTGTTTGCAGGGGAGTGATTCTATTGGTGTAACATGGACTATAGAGTGAGTGAGGAGGGACAGAAGGACATGAGGTAGTGATACGTAATGAAAGGCTAAGAGCCTCAGTTTCTTAGAACTCCCTTTGAGGCTGAAGAATTGATGGAGGGGGTACAAGGAAGAGTGAGGTGGAAAGATAGGACATGGTTAGAGATTAGAGCGCTTCAAATAGAGATTTTAGAAATGGTACAACAGTTGACATTATCAAAGACTAGGGCAGTCCGTCACGCCCAAGAAGGAGTGACGTACAAGATCATTTGAAGTGAGTAGGTTGAAGAACTGAGAGGACAAGTGGATCATCCACCGTGGGGACACTGAAATCTCTGTGCATGTTCACAGGCTTGGTCTCGGAAAGGCAGTAAACTAGAATCATCTGAATGGAGTGGAGGGGAAAGAAGCCTAACTAGGTGGGTTTAGGAGGGAATGATAGATGATAAATGTAGGCAGTGATTAGACAACTCTTTTAACAACTTTTTCAGTGAAGGGAAGAGAAAAATAGTGGGAGCAGGAGGGGTCTGAAAAAGACATGGAGATCAAGGGTTATTTCAAGATGGAAGACCCTGGATTATATATGTATGCTCATGGGACTGATTGATCAGAAAGGGAGAAATTGATGCCATAGGAAACAGATAAAACAACTGTGGCAACTTCCTCAGGAGACAAGAGTGGAATCCATAGCACAAGTACAGGATATTTTTTTTCACCTAAAGAGGCACCATTCTCCCCTGCGATATGAAAAAATACGGAAGCCATGGGTGCAGATTCGGGAATAGATCAGTGTTGAGAAAATAAGGCAGTTTGTGACTGATTGCTTCTATTTTCTCAATAAAGTGTGAGGCAATATCTTCAGCTGTTTGGAGGTCAAAGGTGTGAGGTTGGAGGAGTGAGAACTAACCAGGTGAATAAAGCAGGCCTCCTAGGCTACTGCGCTACCAAGTGACCAACTGAGATTAGTGGTCATGAACCTGAAATAAAAGCACTCAGTATGATTGTGGAATTTTATACAGCAGCTGATTGTATAAAACAGAAGGTGGGTAGATGGATTTCACCTGGGTTGAGGTTTTGCTACGAGAAGTATTGTGATTAACCAAAAAGCCAATGTGGTGGTAGATTACTTGAGCAACTGGACAGACCATAAAATTGAGGCCGATAAAGAGGAATCAAGGAAAATACAAGATTTAAAAAACAGTCAACTGAGGGATTGGAAGTCTACTGTGGACAAAGACTTATGAGTTGGGTTATCATTGAAAGGTTAGGAGTGAGCTGGTGTGGTCAGAATAAAAGATGTTCATATCCAAGTCCCATTAGCCCCGCTGTCCCTATGAACTTGGTGAGGACTGAGTATACAGTAAGCACTTAGTAAATGTACCCTTTTAATACTTGCTCAGTGAGTGTTTTGTTACTACAACTTTAACAACATAATAGCTAGCATTTCTTGAGTATCACCATGAGATGATCAAACACTGACAAAAATATCCTCCCTTCAATGATCCTCCCTTTAGCTGGGGAGAAAGATAACAATGAAATGCAAAATCTTAAGTACCATAACAGAGGTAATGTATACAGTGGTAACCCAGAGGAAGGCAATAACTAACTGTAGAGAAAAATTCAGAAGGGCTTCAAAAAGAAGCGACAATGGCTAATCAGGGAAAGCCAGGAGGTCATCAGATGGAGGGAGGAGAGAGTGGAGACATTCAGGTTCTCTCATTACTAGAGTCTCAATTTCCCATCAGACTCCCTTCAGGTCCAAAAAGAGGTGACTGACTGCAGGCAGCAGGTAACAACACAAGAGCTATCTTCCTTTACAACAAAGTGAGCATGCAAACCTTCACATTAGGACACCAAGATTTAGGTGGGACTGGGTGCTCAGTGCTTTGGAGGGGCCCCAACAACCTACCTTTTGGAGAAGACCAGGGAACCCATGGCGGGAATCTGATCACCAGAGATGGAGAGAGCATTAAGGCGGAGCTGGGAAGCAGCTCACCTTCGTGAGCCTTGTGGGCCTTGTGGGGCTTACGGGGAGCGGGAGCGTGGACCTTGTGGAGTTCACCGGGTGCGCTTGGCTCCTGAGGTTTGCCGGGTGTATGGAGCACAGAGGGCTCAGAGGGCTCGTAGGGCTCGTAGATCTCGCAGGATTCGCGGGGTTCATGGAACTCCCTGGGCGCGTGGGGCTTGTAGGATTCGCACACTTCATAGGATTCGTTGTATTCATGGGGCCCCTGGAGAGCATGGGGAGCGTAGGGCTCATAGTGTTCGTGGGGTTCAGAAAGTGAATATGGCTTATAGCGCTTGTAGGGCTTGGAGCTCTCTTTGCACTTGTCTCGCTGGCCTTGCTCGTGGGCTGACTCGGATACCTGCAGCTCTTCCCGCTCCTCAGAGTCTGTGGGCTCATCCTGCAGGTTGGGGATCCTGTGTTCTAAGGGCTCCTGGAGAACTTTCAAAGAAGCAGATACTTCTGTCGTATCATGCCCATCTAACAGCTCGAATGAACCCGAAAACTCTTGGGTCTCCATGCGGGTCTGGGGAGCTCCGCTGTGGGACCAGCTGGGTTGCTGATGGCCGTAGGTGCTACGGGAGGGAGATGAGGAGCCACCCGCACTGGTCCCCAGCCCACCCCTACCCAACACAGAGGCTGCCGGACTCACTCTGTCCCCGCCCACTCCCCCGACTATTCTCTGGTTGCCGAGGCGACGCGACGAGCTCCAGGGGCCTACAAGCTGAGCTGGGCCAAATGGAGTCGGAGACGCGCGTCCCTGGAGAGTTGGACCGTGCTACTAACCAGCCGTGCCTCGCGGGCGAGTACTTTCGTTTGTTCTCTCGCTTGCTGAGGCCCTGGTGCAGAACGTCCGGACTAGTTACAGCGCCACTCAGCACAGCCAGGTCTCTGTTAGGTTCCATGACACAGATTCTCCACAGGCTTTTGTCTCTAATCGTGCTCGGAAGGGATGCGGAGATTGACGGCCCAGGCCACCATTATCCCTCTGGATTCCGCAGTGCCTTCCGAACTGGTGTTCTGACTTGGTAGGCCTCCAATTATGACACTCCAAACTGTTCACAATAAATCCTAAGCTTTGCGCCCTAAGGTGCCCCATGAGTGATCTAGTCCTTCTCTCTCTCTCTCTGTCCAGGCTACTGTGGGCTGCTCTGCTCTTTCTGGATACATTGCAGCCTTCCTGGTCCTCTCTAACACGTCAAGCAATTTCCTGTTTCAGCTTCTTCCTAAACCCGAAGCCCACCTCTCCCCTTGTTCACGTGCTAGCTCTCTTCTACCCTTTGGGGTTTGGCTTAAATATCCACCTACTCAGAGAGATCTTTTGGAACCCATAAGAATTTTTAAAAGGTTCCCACCATTACTGTCTAACTCAAATCCTTGTTTCTAGACCATTTTAAATTATTTTTCTGCTTAAAAAAAATTTGTGTGTTGGCCTCCCCAGCCAGAATGTAAACACCTTGACATTCTCCATCCTGGTAGCTGGTGTATATATGCCCAGTGCCGAGCACAGCGAATGACTGCAGAGTCATTGTGTTTTTTCCCACTAGAATCCCTTCACTCTTCTTCTAAAAGTCAAACCCCTTCTTTCTTTGGGGGAACTTCTTCCAGATGGTTTGAGTGGGCTAATGCAGCCCCCTCCCTGGTCTGGGCAAAATGACCACAGGCATTAGTTACAGGATGAATATGTGACCCTGGCAGAGCCAATCAGTGCCCCTCTCTGAGATCTGCTGGGTGGTGGCCTTAAAAGGACGGGGTTCATCTTATTCTGGGATCATGAGCTACATATGAATGCTGTAGGCCTGGTGTTGACAGGGGTCCCTTGGTGAGGGAATCTGAGAATGAAGCCAAGCAGAGACTAGCAGGGCCAAATGATGGAAAGCTTTGTTAACTCCGAACCCCTGAATCCACCCATGGCCACGCCCAGGTTCCCCAGGATGATGAACCCCCCCATCCCCTTTTCTTGGCACACAAAAGTCTAACTTGAATTTCTATCATTTTTAACTAAAAGAGCTCTGACACATTTTTGGGCATATAGTTGGTGCTCGATAAATGTTGACTAAATGAATAAATAAAAATACAGATCTACTCTTAGTGTACTTACTGAACTTATATTTTCTGAGCCCGGAAGGCTGGCAAGAGATGCCAGTTTGGGGTGAGTTTTCCAAAGTAATGAATGCCACCCTCCGAGAGGTCTGTTGGGAAGACCTTCTCTGATAGGCTCTTTGACAACACTCTGGCCCATCTTAGCTGAGGGCCATTTCCATTAGAAACCCTGGAACGTGTACCTCCCTTGACAACCCGAGAGCATCTCGAGTCTTTGCTTTAAATCATCCCCAGCACCAAGCCGTGACTACCATGTTGGCATTCAGTAGCTGTTCACTTAAGGGAAAACACCTGTCACAACATTTATCGCCAAAATGCAAAATCTAAAATCAAAACATGAGAAAATCAAGGCTAAACAAGGAAGAACAGGGATAGTACTTCCTATCTCAAAGGCTTGGGCATCATCTTTGAAATCAGGATCCAGGAGCTTATGTATTCCCCCGACCGCCCTAGAAAACATAATAAAAAGATGCCTCATAGAATTGGAGTTTGGGGACGGAAGTAGTCTGCATGTGATTTAGTTCTTTTCCAGAGTGAAGACTATGACACAAGGCGGTTAAGGGATTTGTTCAGGGGCCAGTTCATGGCCATCCTTGGGGCAGAAGCTGAAAATCCAGGGTTCGAGCTCCATAGGCCAGATGAAAGGAGATCTGACATTGGACCTGGATTGGCTGTTGTTACATCAGACTGTTACACACTGTCCTGCAGCTCTGACTGAGAGAAAGCTAGTGACATTAAAGGCACATAGTCTAACATCTCCCCTCAGAGGGCAGGCCCTGTTAAGAAGTACAGAATACTGTGACATAGTTAAAAATGGTTCCTTTTCTCCAACCATGGAAACACAAGGGTTTTTCCCTTTGATATTTATCATGGGAATCTGATCAAGCTCCTAGAGGTAAATTTCACAAGATTGTGGGTGGGGACCCTAGTATGACTGGGTCACGCTAGAGTTGTTAACTCTCACACAGAGCCTCCAGCAATTTGTGAATTACAGCTCTGGTTACCCCACCCCGGCACTGGTTCCCGAGTGAGCTTCCCACTGTGAGTCTCTGCTGTGGTAAATTGTCCTTCTCTGTATTCTGTTGGCAGCAGCGGTTTGCCCTATGCTCTCATCTCTGTTATGGATCCTAGAAGAGTTGTTGATTTTTCAACAACTAACTACTTCTGTTCAGCTTATTACTTGCTGTTAGAACAGTGCAGGCTTCCAAGCTTCTCATATGCTAGACTGGAAACTGAAAGTCCGCCCCCCCCCACCTTTTAAAAATCAAGACAATAGGCTAAAAGTTGGATTTATATGTAACTCTTTTCTAGGCAAAGAGTTACGTCTCTTACAAAGTATTTCTAGCTAGAAAAGCTTATATATAAAAGACAAATGTAGGGGAGGCTGGGATGGGAGAAATTGACAAAAAAAACTGTACTTGAAAAATAACTAAATAAAGTAAAAAAAAAAGACAAATGTCAAAAGTTTCAAAAACGAATCCTAACAATGTTCCTCATCTATTATAATAAGCTCCTAAAAGAGAAGCTTTTCCACCCCAGCGGGTGTGACTCAGAGGACTGAGTGCCCCCCCCCCCCCACCGCAAACTGAAAGGTTGCTGTTTTGACCCCTAGCCAGGGCCCATGGTGATGGCAGAACAGGTCCCCAGTTGGGGGCACGTGAGAAGCAACTGGCTGATGTATCTGTTGCACATCACTGATGTTTCTCTCTTTCTCCCTCCTTCCCCCTTTCTCTAAAAATAAGTAGATAAAATCTTTTTTTTAAAAGAGAAGACTTTCCTAAAATTTTCTGAAGGCTGTTAATTTATATTTTTATGAGGTTTAAGAGTGCTTACTTTTTTGTCATTGCAGTATCCCAATAATTCTTTCTCTACAATGGTAAAAACATGTACTTAAAGAAAAGACACTTGGATTTTTACTTGCAAAGAGAAAAATTTATTAAAATGTTTTAAAATAAATCTCATTAAAAATAAAATAAAATAAAATAATAAAATAAAATAAAATAAAATAAAATAAAATAAAATAAAATAAAATAAAATAAAATAAAATAAAATAAAATAAAATAAAATAAAATAAAATAAAATAAATCTCATGTCATTGAAAAACTACAAAATAGTTTTTCAGCCGGGATAAATGCTTGCTAATGTTCACTCTAATTTTGTTGCTTAAAACTCAAAATTTTGCCCTGGCTGGCGTGGCTCAGTGGATTGAGTGCTGACCTGTGAACCAAAGGGTCACCAGTTCAATTCCCAGTGAGGGCACATGCCTGAGTTGTGGGTCAGGTCCCCATTAAGGAGCACACGAGAGGCAACCACACATTGATGTTTCTCTCCTTCTCTTTCTCCCTTCCTTCCTCTCTCTCTAAAAATAAATAAAATCTTTAAAAATAATTTAAAGTTTTTTAAAAAGCCTTGAAATTTCTCTAAATACATTATTTTACCAATACTTTTAAAGTTCAAAACCTAAATAAAGAGATGCTCTTAACCAATTAACATTCTCGTTGTATATATGCCATGCATTGAGAAAATAGGAAATGGCTTATTATTTATTTGAAAGTGTAAACCTTTGGCTTCAAGCCTGCCACTCATCCCTCCCTGATTACATTTGGATTGTGAGCTACACAGTGGGCCTGGCCTGGTCACTGCATACCCGCTGCCAGGTGTGCAATCAGGTCTTTAGCATCCTGCATGGTGGAGGGGATCTCTGAGCCATTCTCGGTCACTTGAGTCCCAAACAAGAACATCTTCCTGTCATTTCCCACTTCGGACAATGCCAAAGCTTCATGGATGTCTGTAATGTGATAGGCTGCTTTGAGATCCTTCACCAAGAATGAAAGAAAAAAAAAAAGAAGAAGAAGAAGAAATGTTGGTTATTTTGCATTTATTGCTCTGAAAAACTCCCCATTCATTTTAATATGGAGGATATTGAGACGCCATTACTATGACCCCAGTGGTTGTTTGAATAGAAAGCTTTTTATCAGAATTAAACCAGTATTTGAGTTATCATCAAAATATATATTTTTGGAATGAAGTTAAACTAATATAATACCTTAATCAATTTTCTAATTGGTGTAGTCAATCTGCTTATAACTTTTTATCTTTTCCTTTTTGTTTTCTTGGAATTATATTGAATAGGATCAGAGAAGACAGGAGACTTCCAGTGAAGATGGAGGCATAAGTAAACACAGGTGCCTCCTCACACAGCCACAGGAAAAATTACAGCTAGACTACAAAACAAATATCACCCGGAATCATCAGAAAATCAAGCTGTATGGAAGTCTGACAACCAAGGTATTAACGAAATCACATTCGGCCCTGGCTGGTGTGGCTCAGTGGATTGAGCACTGGCCTGCGAACCAAAGAGTCACTGGTTTGATTCCCAGTTAAGGCACATGCCTGGGTTGCAGGCTGGATCCCAAGTAGTGGGTGCATGAGAGGCAACCACACAGCGATGTTTCTCTCCCTCTCTTTCTCATTCCTTTCCACTCTCTCTAAAAAAATAAATAAATAAAATCATAAAAAAAAGAAGAAGTCACCTTCGGCCTGGGTAGGAGGGAGCAGAGACTCGGAGACATGGAGACAGGCAAAGAGGCAGAGAGACTCAGAATGGACACACCCATGGGTGGTGGATAAAAATTGGGAAGGATACCATAGGAGCCATGGATCTAGCCTCACATCAGACTACCCAGGCCAGGTACTGGTGCCAAGAAGTTAAGTCCTCATAATTTCTGGCTATAAAAACCAGTGAGGGGTTGGGTGGTGGAAGAAAGTGCAGGATTCTGAGGAGTCTCCTCTTAAAGGGCGTGAAAGTCTTAGGACTTATACAGACTCACTCCCTCTGGGCTCCAGCACTGGGGAAGCAGCTGGTAGGACACCAGTAGCATATAGGGAGAAATTAAAGTGTCTGGCATCTGGGAAGTGCTGGGGGACAGCTTTCTCCTGGACAAAACTCCAGAGGCCAGGCAGTGGCATCATCCCCTTTTTGAGCCCTCCCCACCAGAGAGCCACCGAACAGTGACATTGTATTAGAAACTCCATCAACCTGGTTCATGTGGGTTGCTCCGCTGATCTCCTAAGACTCCATCCTATCCAACTTAACCCATGCGCTTTCTACAATACAATACTCTACTAGACAGGGAGTCAGGCAGCTCTACCTGATACATAAGAAACAAACACAGGGAGGCTGCCAAAATGAGGAGTCGAAGGAAAATATGACCCAAATGAAGAACAGAAAAAAACCCTCCAGAAAAAGAACTAAACAAAATAGAGATAAGCAATCTATCAGATGCAGAGTTCAAAACACTGGTTATTAGGATGCTCAAGGAACTCTTGGGTACTTCAACAGCATTAAAAAGACAGAAACACAGGTTACGCTAAGTGAAATAAAGAAAAATATACGGGGAACCAACAATGGAGGGGACAAAGCCAAGGATTAAACAACAACAACAACAAAAAAGAAGAAGAAATGAAGGTTATACAAAGTGAAATAAAGAAAAATATACAGGGAACCAACAGTGAAGGGAAGGAAGCTAAGATTTAAACCAATGATTTGGAACAAAAGGAAGAAATAAGAATTCAAAAAACAAAAGTAAAAACAAGAATAGGCTAAGGAGCTTCTGAGACAACTTCAAATGTACCAGTATTCAAATTATAGTGGTGCCAGAAGGAGAAGAGAAAAAGCAAGACATTGAAGACTTATTTGAAAAAATAATGAAAGAAAACTTCCCTATTTGGCAAAGGAAATTAGACATACAAGTCTAGGAAGCACAGAGAGTCCCAAACAAGTTGGACCCAAAGGGGACCACACCAAGACACATCATAATTAAAACGCCAAATGTTAAAGGTAAAGACAGAAGCTTAAAAGCAGCAAGAGAAAAATAAATAGTTATCTACAAAAGAGTTCCCATAAGACTGTCAACTCACTTCTCAAAGGGAACTTTGCAAGGTAGAAAGGAATGGCAAGAAGTATTCAAAGTGATGGAAAACAAGGACCTACAACCAAGATTACTCTATCCAGCAAAACTATCATTTAGAATTGAAGGGCAGATAAAATGTTTCTCAGACAATGTAAACAAAAGGAATATATCATCACCAACTATTATTACATGAAATGTTAAAGGGACTTATTTAAGAAAAAGAAGATCAAAACCATGAACATTAAAATGGTAATAAATTCACAACTACCAACAACTGAATCTAAAAAACAAACCAAGCAAACAAGCAGAACAAACAGAACCATAGATATGGAGACCATTTGGAGGGCTATCACCTGGGAGGGATAAGGGGGAGAATGGAGGGGATAAGGGGGAGAATGGGGGGAAATGTACAAATTGGTGGGTACAAAATAAACAGGGGGATGTTAAGAACAGTATAGGAAATGGAGTAGCCAAGAACTTATATGAAGATGGACTAAGGTGGGAATTGCTGGAGGGAATAAAGGGTACAGAGTAGAGGGGGGGAAGGGGGAAAAACTGGGACAACTGTAATAGCATACTCAATAACATATATTTAAAAAAAGGAAAGAAAAGAAAGAAAACATGAGTAATGTACATCAACCTGTAGATAATCTGTGCTCTGCCAAAGCAAGTGGCTAGAACACTAACCAGAAGGACCCTGCCATGGAGACTGCATGGGTTCAAGTTCCCTTTTAAATTAATTTCAAATTGGAGATGAAATAGTGATTGAAAGCTCCTGTTTGCAATCATTTGTAATTATCTATGGCATGTAAACATGTTCATTAACTTATTTGCTTAACACTGACAACTGTTGTCTTTGATCATGTTCTGTACTTCAACAAAAATCTATCTTCTGTATGTCAGAGTTGTGTATTGGTGGGGGATGAATATTTTTATTTTTATTTTTTGTGGATGCATTATTTGGCATGAAGCTATATTAATCTGGGGGGAGTATAGAGGATCGTGTCATTACAGAGTTAAAGGATATATAAGATATAACCTAGAAATTGGCTGGTGTGGCTCAGTGGACTGAGTGTGGGTCGGTTGGATTCCCAGTCAGGGCACATGCCTGGGTTGCAGGCCAGGTCCCCAGTAGGGGGCACATGAGAGGCAAGCACACATTGATATTTCTCTCCCACTCTTTCTCCTTCCCTTCCCCTCTCTAAAAATAAATAAATAAATATTAAAAAAAAAAAACAGAAGCTTTCTGGTTAGTCCCTTAGTTGAACCTGGTGTCCATAATATTTAATTTGTAGAAGATTTTTTTCCAAGTATATTTATTTCCAAGGAGAATTGTAGTGGTTGGGAGGCATCGAATTCCTCATGCCCAGGGTATTTCCACATGAAGCGGTGAGCATGGGAAGAGTGGCATGATTTTGGATTTTGGTTTATTCTCTCATGTCCTATTAATAAAAACAACAATAGCCCTGGCTGGTGTAGTTCAGTGGATTGAGCGCAGGCCTGCGAGCCAGACATTCGTGGTTCCATTCCCAGTCAGGGCACATGCCTGGGTTGCAGGCCAGTTCCCAGCAGGGGACTCACGAGAGGCAACCCTACATTGATGTTTCTCTCCCTCTCTCCTTCCCTTCCCCTCTAAAGATAAATAAATAAAATCTTTAAAAAATAATAAAAATAAAAACAATAAGCTTACCTTGGTAGAAGGAAAAAAAGAATTATATTTAATAGTATCAATTATTTTAAATTTATCTCTAATTAAAATTTCCTTCATTAATTGTTTTTTGTCCATATCATGTTTTATTGATTATAGCATTGGCCATTGTGCATTTTCTTTTATGGTGGTTATTTCTACTGAACCAAAAAAATTTGGATCAAATTTTGAGAGGGTGGCAGAGAAAGGAGCAGGGGGACACTAAATTTAGAAAATAAAGTTGTAGGAAAAGGAAGCCAAGAAAGGAGGACAGATGAAGAGACAGAGCGCGAGATAGAGAGAAGGGGGAAGGCTTGAAAGAGGGAAACCCACAAGGAGAATCGGTCAGCAAGAGATGAGATTAAATTGAGACAGGAAGCCTGAGCTTCTGCTGCATGGCAAGGTCAAACCTTCTTAAGGTCAAAACACACTACTTTGCCACTCACACATCAATTATTATTTATGCAAATGACCTCAGATAGGCCCCTTTCTAAATACACAGATTTCAGTAATAGTTTTTATGTCCTTTGTGAAAGTTTTAGCATTTTCAGTTTTAAACGGCATTTGTAATTGGCTTTTTGGTTTTTCACAGTGTTCTCCCTAAGCTTTAGGAAATCATTTTTAAATCTCTAGAAATAATCCAACATTGTGTAATTTTTTTCTTCTTTCAATATGAACCAATCAGATTCCATCACTGGGAGCCTGTGAGGCTTTTCCTGATATGTTATACTTGGCATCTGGCTGGATTTGATTACCTCTCTGGATGTCAGTCACCCCAATGTATTGTCTCTCTGACTCCTGAATTCATTTAGGCTTAGAGTCTACAGTGACTTTTGTAACAGTGTTATGGATCCAGTAACATGTGAACGATGTCTCAAGTTAATAAATTCACTGATGGAATTGGAGAGAAAATAAATAGGAACAGGAGGGTGTTGGATGGGAGGAGGGGCTCCTTGTAATGATGAAAGTTGATCAGGGATAACTCTGCTATGAACTTGGGTGTACAAATATCTGTTTGAGTCCCTGCTTTCAATTTTTTTCAGTTGGTGAATCGTATGGAAACTGTATTTTAACTTGTTAAGGAACTGCCGTGCTGTTTCCCACAGCAGCCAGACCATTTCACAGTCCCACCAGCAGTGCACATCGTCCCGCTTCTCCGTGGATGTTTAACATTTTTAATGTATGTGCACGAAGTAAATTCAGATCCGCTCTAATGGATCTAAAACAGTTTCTTTAAAAGTGGCAGACACAAATACTTGAACTTGACAATCAGTAAGTGCTTACTGAATTAAATGCAACACATATCGGTTAGATTCCTACTATACTCAAGGAAGTTACAAGGTATTACAAGGGACAGAAAGATAAATACCAGTCTCTACTCTCAAGGTGTTTATAATTCAGTAGATCTAATAAATATAAATTGAACTGATTATACAGCATATTGTTTAATATCTACTTGTTAAAAGTAGATATTTCTATTTCTTGTGTTAGTGATAAAACTATGGAGTACAAATTATATTTGTACAGATTTTTACCTGTTTGTTTGCAAACACAACCAGAGGGATGATCGGGTTTGTCTCAATTAGTCGATGAAGGTGTTTCTTGGCTTCAGGTAACCTGTTGTGATCTGCTGAATCCACCACAAAGATCAGCAGTATTCCCCTGGACATGTATGCTTCCCAATAAGAACGGAAAGGCTCGCTGCCACCAACTAGGAAGAGGAGTAGGAAAAGAAGAAACACCAAAAATGTCACAGGCGCATCCACCAAGGGGCGGGGGAGGCACATTTACATAACTTCTGAACACTAGACAGGGGAATTGTCCAATAGATTGAACTTGCTGGTTGTGTTCAAATTTTATGTGTCTTTGCAAATTTTTTTCTCCTCAATCCTGTTAATAATTGACAAAGATATGTTGAAATCCCTCACTGCAGTTGTAGATCTGTGTATTTCTCCCCTAGTTGGGTCCCGCCTTCCTTCCTCCCTTCTTCCTTTTCATTTTTTATATTTTGAAGCTATTTTTTAAGCTATCTATTTGGTCAAAGTAATTATTTGTTCTATAACTTCTCGGCAAATTGAAACCTCCATTCCTAATAACGCTTTTTCTTAAAGATTTACTTTTCGGTGTACCAATCTCTCTGTCCACCATTTTCTCTTCTTAACTGTAGAAAAGCAAAATTAAAAAGGTGACTGCAGTGATCTAAATAGGAGATGATGGAGGTTCTAATTCAAATAGGGGTAGAGGGAAAGGATGTGACTGATGAATTCCAGACTGGTTTTAGAGGTAGAAAAATTCGCAGTGTTTTACTGGAGGTGGGGATATAGCAGGAGGAAACAAGGGCAACCCCTGGTTTTCTGTCTTGAGCAACTTCATGGATTATAAGGACCAGTGGATTATCAAAGAACTGATATGGAGATAGATCAAGCCTTTTGTTTCATCCGTGTTCGGTTCAAGAGGCCAATTAGACAACCAGGTGGAGAAGTTAGGTGACATTTGAATATGTTTGGGCTGGATAGATAAATTCGGGAGTAGCACACAGATGGTACTTAATGCCAGGAGGATGGATGAAATCCTCCAAGGAAAGAGAAGATGGGAGGATCTGGTGAATCTGTGGGGAACAACGATATTTAGAGTGGTGGTGTCTCCAGAATCCCTACAGAGTAGGGGCTTCTGGACTGCCTTCTGTTTACAAGATGGGGTTTGGGGTTTATCTGTGGGTGCAGCTGCAGAGAAGGAAGATTACTTTATTTACTTAGATTGCATATTTAATTGGGGTAGTAAGGGAGGAGGGAGGCTGTTATAGAAGGGAATATAAAGCCTTCTCCTCAACTCCCTTTATTACCACCACTGTAAAAAGGAGACAATAAAAAGAACGTAAAGTGATTTTCCCCACAGTGCACCTTAGTATTAAACTACACATGCTTTCTAAATACCTAGGAAAGTCTGACCCAGTGTTACTTTTTGCAAGGACCCAACGTTGATAATGTTAAGTCCTGTTCAAGGTATAACAAAGTGAGGCTATCCTGTAACTAATGAGGAAGAGGGCTTACTCTCCAGGAAGTCCATCTGGCTATCTTCAGTGTTTATACACACTTCATTGAAACCTTGGGTGGGTGCCTCGCTGTGCTGGACTCTGTTCAAAGCTAGAGAGTGGAGAACACTGGTCTTTCCTGCTCCATCCAGGCCCAGCACCAGAATGTGATTATTTTTCTCCTGTGAAACAAAAGATAAATCAATAAACCTACGCTATCAGGGATAGATATATATATATTTGAGAGGTGCCAGAGATCACAGGGCCACAGGACTATTTTCAGAGTTCAATTTGCTTCTTGAGTTCATGTCCATTGGAGATTGCACCAGAATTCAGTTTGTTGTCTGGGACCTTGGTACCTCCACGGTGCTTTCAGTATTGACTACGCCATTTAGTATGTAAGCATCTAAGGTCTCATTAATCAGTCTTGTCTTCCCAACTAGATCATTAGATTAAAATGCAAGATTCCACTTTTATACTCTTAAAGTATCACAATTAAAAGAAAAGGCTAAGATTATAGAAATTGTTAAATCAGTTCCAATCACAAATAAGCATTTATTTTTTATTTTTAAAAGATTTTATTTATTTAGTTTTAGAGAAAGGGGAAGGGAGGGAGAAAGACAGAGACAGAAACATCAATGTGTAGTTGCCTTTCACATGCCAGTTTACTGGGGATCTGGCCTGCAACCCAGGCATGTGCCCTGACTGAGAATCAAACCGGTGACCCTTTGGTTTGCAGCTGTGCTCAATCCACTGAGCCACACCAACCAGGGTCTATCTTATTTTATTTTTATCATCTAAACTATTATAAACGTCCTCCATTACCCCCCAACTCTGCCCACCTCCACCCAGACCCTGCCACCCCCCTCCCCAGGGTTTCATCACCCTGTTGTTTGTGTCCGTGGGTCATGCTTATATGTTCTTTGGCTACTCTCTTCACCTTCTTTTATCTAGTCCCCGCCCCCCAAACCCTTCCCTCTGCGATCTGTTGGTCTGTTCCATGCATCTATGCCTCTGGTTTTCTTTTGTTTGTCAGTTTATTTTGTTCAGTAGATTCCACATATGAGTGAGACCTTGTGGTATTTGTCTTTCTCTGATTGGCTTATTTTACTTAATGTGATCATTTCCAGGCAAACGAACATTTATTTTAAAATCTGATGTTAAAGCCTTTTGAATTAGACGTAAACTTTAGATAGAAACATTCCACCAACATACCAGCCTTAGGAATTTTTATGACAAATGAGAAACAATAAGAGCAGGCTGGTATGAAGAAAGTTTAGGGTGCACAGAAGGGTGGCTTTTAGGATATAAACTCCAATGTAAATAGTAATAAACAAGCAACAATACAGCCAGACTGCTCATCGAAAGTTAATTGTTTCCCAAATAGCCTACTAAAGAGGCTTCTCATGCACAAAACACACTAGGTTTAAAAATAACAATAATCTTATATATTTCTTTTTGAACACTAAATGTTGACATGAGCTTTAGACAGGATTCCTGGTTAAAAAAAATGTGATCCAAACAGCATTAGAATGTCTATCCCACCTCTTTTTTTAAAAATAAGATCTATGTGCAAGTAAAATGTTTTAAGGTCTGATCCAATACATACTTATGTAGAGAGCATGTTTTATGAAGACTGTCTAGAGAATGAAAGAATTTGAAAGAGTATATGTTTTTACAGTGAATTCTTGATGGCTTTCATAGCAAATGGTATTTCCATAAATGTTTCCCATCTCTATCGCGACCTCCTTCCCATCGCCTCCCATCTGCATCTAAATGTTAGTTACAATGCCATCCTGGGATGGTGGGGAGGAGTGACTTGATGTACAAAGAAAACATTGAATACTTTTTTTTTCCAAAGATTTTATTTATTTATCTTTAGAGGGGAAGGGAAGGAGAGAGGGAGAGAAATATCAATGTATGGTTGCCTCTGGTGTGTCCCCTGCTGGAAAGTGGTCTGAAACCCAGGCATGTGCCCTGGGAATCAAACCGCAATCCTTTGGTTCGCAGGCCCATGCTCAATCCACTGAGCTACACCAGCCAGGGCAACGTTGAGTACTTTAAAGCAATGCTGGCACCAAGAAATGGCTGCAGGGTGTGGATTGTGCCCCCCTCATTATCTCCACCAATGGCCCTACTCAGGCTACCCCAATATTTCATCCATTCCAGATAAAATTTTGTTCACATTTTAATGTGTCTAAAATGAAAATTTACAATGCATGATACGTCTTACTTTGGTTGGAAACATTTTTTTCTTCTTTTCTTTCTTAGTGGTATCCAAAATAATGGCCTCTTAGATCCTGCGAAATATTGGTTGGGCATGTCCCACAAAGCACAGGGTCTTGGTTTTGGTTCCTGGTTGGGCACATGTCTGGGCTGTGGGTTCAGTCCTCAGTTGGGGTGCCCGTGAGAGGCAACAGATTGCACAAGAGGCAACTGATTGATGTTTCTGTCACACTGATGTTTCTCTCCCTCCCTTTCTCTTTCCCTTCTCCCCTCTCTAAAAATAAATAAAATCTTAAACAAACAAAACGACAGTTCCCTACTTCCTTTCCCACCACATTACTCACCCTAAGTTCACCTATCTAGAAATTTGGGAGGCACCAATGCTTCACATTTTGCTTACTTTTTAGTCTAAAATACATGCTTGCCTCGTGTTCATAATCTCCAGTGGAAATTTGGGGTTACTGGAAAGCGAGTGTTCAGACACGAACTGTGATCCCAAACACAACTGTTCCTTGTCAAAAATTATTCCTTTAACTATAGCGGATCTAGGTAGTCTGTGTTTTTCCGGAGGTCAAATCTGCCCGAATAATTCACAGTTTAGAACCAGAAAGTAGCTCTGAGCCCGGGAACTCCAGGAGTGCAGAGCCTGCTCAGCTGATGCAAACAATGCCTGGTTTTGCTTTCTCCCCAAACCCAGCCCTAATTTTTAAATTGTGGTAAAATACATATAACAAGATTTATCATCTGAACCATTTCTAAGCGTATACAGTTCAGTGTATTCATTCATTCAATCCATTCATTCATAATGTGCAAACATCACCACCATCCATCTCCAGAACTCTTTTCATTTTTGTCAAACGAACTCTGTACCCATTAAATGCTAACTCCTCTCTCCCTTTCTCCAGGCGCCAGCAACCACCATTCTACGCTGTCTCTCCGGTTTTGCTTACTCTAGGTATCTCATACAAACGGACTCATAGGTGTTTGTCTTCCTGTGACTACAATGTCTGGCCTGCGAGAGCTCACTTAAACCTTTGTGACCCTTCTGGACGCCGGTGGTCTGAAAACTACAGAGGCAGTAACCACGACGGCTACAGAAAAGGTCCAGACAACTCAAAAACACATTCGGCACACATTCAGGAACCCTGCACCTTCCATTGAAGAAGCTATTTTCAAAAGGGCTCGGATCGAGAGCCTGCGTGGGGCGAGGGCTCGGGGCGGGTTTCTGCGTTGTGCGCGGTCTGCGATCTGAGTGCCGGACAGTGATAGGGACGGAGACTGGCCATAACCTGCGCCTCTTCTTCAACACGAGAGACCTGAGGGGGGTTAGGGGTGAAGGGCAGGTGGCCAGAGAGAAGGGTCTGGCAATCAGTCAATCAGTCGTTGGGAGCTTGACACGCTTCCTTCCACCCACAGATAGAAAGCCCCTGAAAGAGACCTAACTCCCTCCGGTGGGGGTCTGGGACGTAACAGAGCTGGCACTCACGCCTGATGTCCCGACAATGGCCGTGGGGAGAGGTCCGAGGCACCAGTCTCTTACCGGCTGTTCCAGGAGAGGCTTTGCCAAGACGCTGTTGTTCTCCTTCTCTTTCTCTTCTTTTCCCTTAAATTGTTCCTTCTCTTTCTCCTTTTCCTCTTCCTTCCCTTTCTCGTTCCCCTTCCCCATCTCCTTCCTTTTGTCTTTTTCCTCCTTTCCTCTTCCCCGAATTTTCTCTTTCTCTGGTTCCTTTCCCTTCTCTTTCTTTCTCACTTTCCCCCTCTCCATCTTCACAGCTGTCTCCTTCCCTCCGGCGCGCCCTGCACGCTGGAGCAGCCGCTCTGGGTCCCGGCCGGTGTGGCCCCTGCGTGGGACCCAGGCAGGGACGTAGATCCACGTGGCGCAGACCTCACTCACAGTCACTGTGGCCGCCGCCAGTCCTACGGCGCGTAGGCTGCCAGCGTAGGCTGCCACCGGGCATCTCTTGCTAGCGCGCTCCCAGGGCTGCGAGCTGCACATTCGCGAAACCTGAGGGCGAAGGCGGAGTGAGGAGGGTAAGGCAGGGGTGCTAGAAGAAGGGTCGAGCCCCGCCAGAGGGAACCCGAAAGCCCAGCGCGGCACAACGTCAGTGCAGGAAAATGTGTCGCCAGGTGCCACTTCGGGAACACGTAATAGAATGGCGCGACTTCCTTGCTGGTAGGAAGGGTATCTAAGAAAGGACTCCCACACGAGACCAGATCTAAGCAGCTCCCCACCCCCGAATCATCCCCACGCCCACTCAAGCTCCCGGGTCTCCCACTGGGAGAACCCCGAGGGGTCAGAATACTGGGCACCCCCAAAGGACCCCTGCCCACCCCCGACTTTCCCGGTTAGTAATCACAAGCCCTGTAAGTGAAGTTGGGTACCGCCCCGCCCTCCAGCCGGTGTCGGCTAGTAGTGTCTCCAGACGGTCCAGGACGCTTAGGAGAAAACTGTTAAGGAACATAAATGGTCCCCTCATTTTAAATTCTTATAGTTTACTTTAAACATTTCTCAATTAGTCACGGGTTCCATTCCCAGTGCACATGCCTGGGTTCCAGGCCAGGTCCCCAGTGAGGAGGGCACAAGAGGCAACTACACATTTTTGTTTCTCTCCCTCTCTTCCCCTCTAAAAAGAATCTTTAAAAATTTTTCTCAAATTAATACTCTGCCAGGATCATGGCTACTAGTAATGCAGGGTATTTAAAACGCTAGAGAAAAATCATTTGTTGCCCCCAACAATCTAATATACAAATCAGGAAACCCACAAGGCTTTCCAAAGGTTATGTAACATTGCTTAAACTGAGAAATGTTTTTTTTTTTAATTTTGTTAAATTGTACCTAGTATGTTCAGAAACAAAATTATCTTACTGCAATAAACTTGACTTTTCTTCATCAGATGTTTCAAATAGGCTTGTAAAGAACACAGGCAAGATTCAGAGATTGAGTGATGCAACAGTTTCTAAGGTTAGCAATTTCCAAGTCTTGAAAATGTTAAGCTTAATAACTTAATAAAATGTTTATTCCTCAATTTATTTATATACATGCATCAACTCAATGAATTTTCAGTGGTGGTAAAACTGGGCTCTCTCGATCCATTAGTTTTGTGGCTTTGATGGGAGGAGCTGAAGATAATTTTAGATATTTACGTTTAAAAAATTCTGATACATTAACCAGGAATTCCCCATAAAAAGTCAACACCCAAAACACCTTAATCCACACTCACTGCTAGAATATTTTATTTTAAAATGTGCCACAGTGAATGGGTGTATCCATACTGTTTTATAAATGTAGACACAAACATATGTACAAAGTGTGTACATCCTGGTTAAAGACCTGTCCGAAAGAAAAAATTACAAGAAAATTAATGTAGATGTTTACACTTCATTTGACAATAACTGATGTGAACTGAGGTTTCAGTTACTTAGTGATGACTGGTTAATAACAAAGACTGGTGATTATAATGAGTAGAGAACTATAAATTTCACTTTGTGCCTTGTGTCAAAATTTTCAATGATAATTTTCACCAAAATTTTGTAGCTTGGTGAAATCTAAAATAATTATCTTTCACCACAGAAATTTAATGGAATCCTAAATAATAAATTGACTAACAATTATTCTTGTAATGGGGTATATATTTGGGAAAAATGAGTATCTGTCACTTTCACCAAAGACAATTCTCGGAGAGCTCAAAAAGTTATGCCATAATAAATCATTCATATGAGGGTCTCTTGTTTAGATGCCACTGCAGATTCTAATGTCAAACAGAAGGTCAGCACCATATTCCTTACTTTTGTAAAGGAGGGAAGCCTTTCAAAAACTCTTTGAAGTTGTTTCAGTCGGTATGTTCAGAGTCAAACACAGCAGCACTTTATGGAGAAGGGTAGAGTAATATGGTCAAAAGGAAGTAACTCAGGTGTAAATTCAATGCTATCCTGGGCAACATAAAACGAATACTCACCAGGGTGGGCATCCCAGTGTGTTTGTCTTATTGTTCATCAGGAAAGTAGCATATAAGCTAGGAAAGCCCAGAGCAACACTGACAACACAGACTGACTGCGCAATACTCCATTGCTTTGGAAAGGGTAATGAATAGTCACACCCCTAACTAGAAAGAGGAGCCATCTGAGTATTTATTAACTGAGCTAACCAGGACTGTGAGGTTTTAATATTGCCTGCTATTGAACTCTCTTACTGGTTTCCTCTCTACGTAGGAAGTCAATGCTCATGCTTTCTACAGGGTCCATTAAATCTGACTGAGACATTCTATACCCACCTGACCTCAGGACACTGGGTCTAAGAGTCAACTTCTGACAACACTGGTAAGTTTTTCTTCAGTTCTTTATAGTACTAAATCGGCATAATGCTATCATAATCTGAAAATGATATGGAGGCATCAAAGAGTCCTAATTTACATATATTTATATATATGTGGATATATGTATATACATATACAAACACACTTTTCATTACTATACACATACACACGTGTGTGTGTGTGTGTATAGTATCCCATTACAGAGAATTTGTGGTAAAAATTAATGAAGACATTTAGTTTTCCTGTGGCCATTCATGTAATGAAAAACACCAGTGTATTAATTAACAAGGTCCCTTTTTTATCACACAATATTTCTAAGCAGATATTTGGAGTGCTCAGCAGATTCCACTTTCGGTCTCCCAAGACCTCCTAAGACGTAATTTAAAGTGGGACTTGACAGAACAAGTATCTTCAGACTCTAGTTAAATAAAACAGCAGAAGTAATTTGTTTATATCCTAGGAAACCTCAGATAACATGTCTTATTTGTCAAACTGAGAAAACCATCACCAGATCATCACATAAAGAAACAGACATTAAGGTGGGTAAATGCCCAATTATTTTGAGTCCTCATCATCTGTACAAAGCTAGGTGGTACAAGTAGGCCAAGTCTGACCAGGCAGAGTATGAGGAAGGTATTTTTCCTTTTTGATGCACAAGAAAATAATTTTATGAAAATGTGGGGATGAGAGGGAGCAGCTCTGTGCTTCTCACTGTGTTATCTTTATTACGTTCCGGTGTCACTAAGACTAGTTTAAGTTTAAACATAGCCTGTAGCCAGGATGTTCTAATCACCAGCCACCTTTTCCACCTTTCTTCTTTTTCTGTTGTTGTTTCTTTTTTGTTGCTGGAGCCCCTGCAGGTTTCTGGTGTCTTGGGGGTATGATGTTACTTGTAGATGTAGATGCCGTTGCTGCACTGCCAGGTCTTGGGGAGGTGGGTGGGCTGCTCACAGTTTTACTGGCATCCCTGAAATCATCGCATCAGGAAACTGTTGGTCATTCATATATTCAACAAAGAAAGACTATAGAAACGTACACATAAGGATTTCATTTCCACCTTTAACAATCTCCCACACACATTCTATTTATTTAAGGTGGGTACCCCAATCCCTATCCATTTTATTTTTGAACAAAATTTTTACTGCTTTATAATTAAAAGATAATATACAGTACATGCCAAGTCTTAGAAAGCTGAGAAAGTAAACAATTTTAATGACTTATAATTCTACCATGTACTAAATTACTTAATTAGTAACACTGTAATACTTCTAGTCATAGTATTTATTTATATCTTTGTTTCTCTAGATATTTAATTCGTTGAATAACTCAGTGTATTTAGTTTCCTTTTGAAGGTACCGGAATCCTATTATTTATGATATAATCCTATAATCCAAGTACTTACCATACAATCAAACCTGAAATACCACACTTAAAATACACTGAAGAGTCTCACTAGTGACCCTGAGTCATTATCAGAAAGATCCAACCTATGCTCTGTGTGTCCATGAGAAGCAACGACTTACAGTTCTGATGAAGTTCCTGCAGTTGCTCCCTGGGTCCCCTTTCCAATCTGATCCTTCTTTTTACCCTTCTTTCTTCCCCGGTAGTAAGACCGTTCACGCATTGGTAGCCATCTTTCTGGATCTGGGGTCACTTTTGGGTCATAATTCTTAGGCAGTTTTCCTGTGTAACAATTAATTGATAAAAAAATGAGATATCTATCCAAAATGATTTCAAACAGTTTTTTAAACAGTACATCCCAGCCTGAGAATAAATTAACATTAAAACTAAAATAAGTTTATCTGAGAAAGTTTTATTTGTATAATCTAGCAGGAGAAAAGGCCTTATTCCTAAGCATGACGTGATATTCAGAAGCCATAAAGGAAAAATATTTCACAGATGTATCTATATAAAAAAGTTAAATTTCATCTGGTAAAAGAAATATTATTAAGAGAAATAATAAAACAAAAATACACTATATATAAAAGGGTGCACTAATATTCTTAATGTAGAACAAGTTCTTGGCAATCAAGAAGTAAATCACACAAAGAAAAATGGGCATAGCTGTAATTAGGGTAAGCCAAGAGAAACAAAAATCATTAATTATGTAAAAAGATGGTCAACTTTACTTAATAAAAATGAAAAAGGTAAGAACTTCTATCAAACTAACAAATATTAAAAGCAGTAATACCTAGTGTTAGTGAGATAATGGGAAACACTCAAAAACCACTAGCAGAAAGGTTTACTGGGACAGCTTTTGTAGACAGCAAGCTAACTGGCAGTACCAGTCAAAATTTATACTTCTAAAAATTTGTCCTGCAGAAATCCTTAAGTCTCAAAGTTATGTGTGTAAGAATATTCTGTGATAGTCTTTAAAGTAGTAAACTAACTTAAATGGCCATCAATAAAAGAATAATTAAATAAATTACAGTATATCCCTACTATAGCAAGCTATACGACGAGTTAAAAAAAGTGCATCTATATTTAATAACTTGAAAAAATGTCTGCACAATACAGTCTAAAATAGAAAATTAAA